GCCGTGGAACTTTGGACCAGCTCTATACCCTTGCAAGGGTGATGGAGGGGGCATGGGAGTTTGCCCAACCAATCCACATGTGCTTTGTGGATTTGGAGAAGGCTTATGACCGTGTCCCCAGGGGCACCCTGTGGGGGACGCTCCAGGAGTATGGGGTGGGTGGCTTTCTGTTAAGGGCCATTCAGTCCCTTTACCAGAGGAGCGGGAGTTTGGTCCGCATAGCCGGTAGTAAGTCGGACCTGTTCCCAGTGAGGGTTGGACTCCGCCAGGGCTGCCCTTTGTCACCGGTTCTGTTCATCACTTTTATGGACAGAATTTCTAGACGCAGCCGTGGTGTGGAGTGTGTCAAGTTTGGTGGCAGGAGAATCTCGTCTCTGCTTTTTGCGGATGATGTGGTCCTCCTAGCTTCATCCAGCTCTGACCTTCAGCTCTTGCTGGGTAGGTTCGCGGCCGAATGTGAAGCAGCTGGGATGAGGATCAGCACCTCCAAATCTGAGACCATGGTTCTCGACCGGAAAAGGGTGGCTTGCCACCTCCGGGTCGGGGGAGAGGTCCTACCTCAAGTGGAGGAGTTTAAGTATCTCGGGGTCTTGTTCACGAGTGAGGGTAGGAGGGATCGGGAGATCGACAGGCGGATTGGTTCGGCGTCTGCAGTGATGCGGACGCTGAGCCGATCTGTCGTGGGGAAGAGGGAGCTGAGCCAGAAAGCCAGGCTCTCGATTTACCGGTCGATCTACGTCCCAATCCTCACCTATGGTCATGAGCTTTGGGTAATGACCGAAAGAACGAGATCGCGGATACAAGCGGCCGAAATGAGTTTCCTCCGTAGGGTGGCCGGGCTCAGCCTTAGAGATAGGGTGAGGAGCTCGGACATTCGGGAGGGACTCGGAGTAGAACCGCTGCTCCTCCGGATCGAAAGGAGCCAGTTGAGGTGGTTTGGGCATCTGGTCAGGATGCCTCCTGGACGCCTCCCCGGGGAGGTGTTTCGGGCATGTCCTGCCGGCAGAAGGCCCCCGGGTCGACCCAGGACACGTTGGAGAGGTTACATCTCCAATCTGGTCCGGGAACGCCTTGGGGTCCTGCCGGAGGAGCTGGTGGACAAGGCCGGGGAGAGGACGGCCTGGAGCTCCCTAATTGGGATGCTGCCCCCGCGACCCGGACCCGGATAAGCGGAGGAAGACGAAGACGAAGACGAATATCACAAATTAAAATGTAGAATGGTTCCTCTTTCATAAAAGAGCATAAACCACAACTCTACACCAGTCAGCTGGTGGTTTGTTTGGGATAATTGAAAATAAGTAATTTATTATGGGTAAGACCTTCATTTTAGTTGTAGCAACTCTCCCCATGAGTGATATTGGTAAGGATTTCCATCTTGCAAGATCATCTTCCACTTTCTTTAAAAGTGGGATGTAATTTAGTTTGGTTAGATCTGCCAGCTTGGGAGAGACATTAATTCCCAGGTCTGTGATATTCCCTGACTCCAATTGTGTATTAAGCAAATTGACAAAAGAGAAATTAATTGGTAGAACTGTGGATTTTAACCAGTTTATAGAGAAATCTGAAACTCTTGAAAAAGAGTTTATCAGTTCTATTGAATAGGAGAGAGAGGATTGAGAATTCTGGAGAAAGAGTAAAACATCATCTGCATACAGACTGATCTTATGTTCTATTTTCTTACACTTTATCCCTTTAATACCTGTTGTTTGCCTAATTGCTGTGGTTCGATAAAAATAGCAAACAGTGAGGGGGAGAGTGGGCATCCCTGCCTGGTCCCCCTCTGAAGACAGAAGCTAGCTGATATTTGGTCATTTGTTCTGACACGTGCAGTTGGTGAACTGTATAATGTTTCTAGCCAGTTTATGAAGAAGTTCCCAAAACCAAATTTATGTAAAGTTGCAAATAAGAACTTCCAGTTAACTCTGTCAAAAGCCTTTTCTGCATCTAGAGATAATATACTAGTTTCTATGTTTCTACTGTAAGAGAAATCTATCAAATTAAGTAATCTACACGAGCTAGTGGATGATTGTCTACCCTTAATGAAACCAGTTTGGTCAGGGTGTATTATGAAGGGGGTTACCTTCTCTAATCTTTTGGCCAGGGCTTTACAAATTATTTTGAGATCAACATTAATAAGAGAAATTGGGCGATAGCTGGTAGGAAATGCAGGGTCTTTGCCTGGTTTTAACAAGAGACTAATATTGGCTGAATTCATGTTTGGCTGTAATCTGCCGCTCTCTTCGATTTCCCTCACTATTCTGAAAAATGTTGGAGCCAGAATGATCCAGAATTCTATGTAGAACTCTGCTGGAAACCCGTCTGGACCTGGAGCTTTCCTATTCGTCATGGATTTAAGGGCTTCCTGGAGCTCCGCTGAGGTTAGTGGCGAGTCCAGGACTGTAGCTTGGCTGTCTGATAATTTAGGAAGTGTTATCCTGTCAAGGAACTTATTGATCTCGTAATCTGATGGGTTTATCTGTGGTGAGTACAAAGTTTGGTAAAGGTCTCTTAAGGTGTTGTTTATGCTTTCAGGATCATAAACTATATTCCCGGTTGAGTCTTTAACAGCAGATATGGTAGTTTTCTCTTTATTTTTTTTAACTGGCTAGCCAAATATTTACCTGATTTATTACTATGTTCAAAGTTTTCTATTTGTAGTCTTTGTGCTAAAAATTGTGTCTTTTTGTCAATAATTCCATGAAGTTCTAATTTAGCTTTACGTAATTTGCTCAGTAACTCTTCTTCTGTGGATGCCTCTAAAGACTTAATGATTTCTTCTAACTCCTAAATACGTTTGTTTTCTGTTTTTTTCTTATGTGATGAGAAAGAGATTATTTTACCTCTCATCACTGCCTTTCCTGCCTCCCAGAGAACAGATGCTGATGTTCTAGGCAGGTCATTATGTTCTAAATATAAAGCCCACTCCTTTTTAAAAAAATTCTATAAAGCCTTCGTCTTTAAGAGTTAAAGAAACCGGAGCATGGTCGCTGACAGCTATGGGGTGTATCTCAGTGTCTGAAATGTCAGTCAACAATGAGCTGCTGACTAGAAAATAATCCAAACGTGAGTGAGTGAGTGAGTGAGTGAGTGAGTGAGTGAGTGAGTGAGTGAGTGAGTGAGTGAGTGAGTGTGATGGACGTGTGAGAAAAAAGTATACTCTCTACGGTTGGGATGAAGAGATCGCCATGCATCACAAAGCCCATAATCACTCATGTACTGTTTAACTATGTTAAGGGAGGAGTATGCGCATGTGCTGACGGCCCGATCACCGGACACACAGCAGCGTTTTGAAGCAGATGGCAGCTTGTTAATCAACTTCCACAAACAATTAAGACAGATTTTTGCCTAATTTACTCACTGACAACGCCAAAAAATTAATAAATCTGGTAAATATAACACACAACCTGGAGGTAAGTGGAGAAAATTTAGAAAATTGCAAACATATATTGACGAGGTTTTTGAGCTTCTTGTTATGGGACCGAAGAAAGCAGCAGCAGCTGAGACGGAAACACCTGGGACCAAGAGGAGCCGTCCCCAGGACTCGCCCGAGGCCTCATCTCCCCATAAGGATTTACTACAGTCCATAGATAAACGGCTTCTGGGATTTGAGGGACGGCTCCACCTGCTTGAGGTGCTTCACAAGGAGTTCCAGGACCTCCGAACATCTCGAGTTTAGCCAGGAGCAGGTGGAGCGGCTCGCGGCTGAGAACGCATCTCTGCGGGAATGTTTCTTTAAAATTTTAGGTTATTCCTTTTATCTCCTATACGATTTTTATCTTATTTTTATCTTGGGGTTTTTCCTTTTTATTACTACTGTACAGCACTTTGGTCAGCTGTCATGCTGTTTTTAAATGTGCTTTATAAACAAACTTGGTATAGTATGGTATTAGAAAAGCCTGAGAGATCTAAGTCACACTGTGAATTAGACTTTCTCATATTGACTCACAACGGGGAAGCTGTTGTTGTTTTAGCGTCCAGAATCAACAGAGAACATCTCGGGTCAACAGGTGTTGACCACTAGCATAAGAAACTCACTCACATGGCAGAAGCTCCTCCAGGCTTGTTAGATAAAACATTCATGTCCCCGAGCAAACAGAGTTGGTGGTATCACTCTAGCAGTTTTCAGAACAGGAGCATTATAGCCTTTTTTTTAATGACTCAAAAGGCGTCGACTTACACCAGAGAACACAGCAAATGTACTGAATAAACATGTAAATCACACCTTTAAATGCACACATGCATGGACACAACCCAACCTCAGCTTTCCCTTCTGCCCATTCATCTGCGGGCAGCAGTAGCTCAACAGACTGAGCGGGTTGTCCAGTAATCGGAAGGTTGCAGGTTCAATCCCGGCTCTGGACAGAGAATTCTGCGGTTGTGTCCTTGGGCAAGACACTTAACCCACCGTGCCTGCTGGTGGTGGTCGGAGGGACTGGTGGCGGCAGTGCTCGGCAGCCTCGCCTCTGTCAGTGCGCCCCAGGGCAGCTGTGGCTACATCATAGCTCATCACCACCAGTGTGTGAATGTGTGTGTGAATGAGTGAACGATACACTGTAGTGTAAAGTGCTTTGGAGTCCTTACTCTGAGAGGTGCTATACAAGTGGGGTCATTTATCATTTATTTGTGCAATATCCAATATTTTTATGGCAGGTTTTACCTCTTATCTTAGTGCTTTTACTTGTTTTATGGTTAGTTAACTTTTATTGTAGTTTTAAGCCTTGCCTGTATGTGTTTTATATGTTTTTAGCTTCACATTTTACTCCAATGCTGTCTTTGTTGTTGTGTTTTGAGTCTTTGTCTCTCATGTGCAGCACTCTGGTTAGCTGCCATGGTATACATATATACTGTAACATTTGTGTCGAGCCCATGTAAAATAATGAAGGTGCATCTTTGGACATGCTCATCAGCCTCTGCCAGTGTGTTCTGCTCTCATTCTGCCATCTCTATTTACTCTAGCTGTTGACAATGGAGGAGTCACAGTAAATGTGAAGGTAGTATACCTGGGGAATGATAGTGAGCTTGGACCTCAGGTCATGCAGGCCTATCTCTGCTATCTTCACATCATCGATGGTGATCTCTCCTGCAGCGGCTTCCAGTAATCTGAAGAGGCAGAGCGTCATGGAGGACTTCCCAGCCCCAGTGCGACCCACAATGCCGATCTGCACAGCAATAACAGCAGCTCATTATCCTTTAGGCTCATTATCCTCACTGTGTAATTCACCTTTGTAACCTCATCCAACCTTCTCTCCTCCTTTCACGTTCAGCGTGATGTTCCTCAGGACCAGGTCCAGACCCTCGCGGTACCGGACGCTGTAGTTTTGGAACTGCACATTCCCTGTCATGGGCCATTCCGGGGGGGGCTTCTTGTCCTCCACCTCCCAGGGGGCCTGTGAGCACAAACACACTCAGAACTCAGTCAGGCCTTCAGTACACGAGTACAAAGTGCTTTGTTTGTCTTGTGTAGCACGGAGGTTCGTACTAGCACCAGGTAGCAGTTCTGGATCTAGTTAGTGTAGCTGATGGGTGGTGCAGCTTTATGGAATGTGGCTAATGGCGTGTGGGGGGGTGCTGCTGTAACTAAAAACACATGTCTGACTTTAACAAACCTCTGTTTTGGTCTCGGAGTACTCCTTCACCCTCTCCACTGCCACGATGTTGTTCTCTAGGTCTGAAGTCATCCTCACCATCCAGTTCAGAGACATGGTCACCTGATCAAACAGCCTGGGGTCATTTCCTACACCTGTGTTAGTGAAGCGGCACCACGCCTGTGTGTTTCAGCTACCTGGAGAGCGTAAGACACCGACAGGCCCACGAGTCCAGGGTTCAGGCTCTCCTTTCCCGTCACGGCGAACAGAGCAGCAAACAGGACGATGCAGTTCCCGATGAACTCGATGCGCACTCCGAGCCACCTGGGTGACAGCAGGCCTCCAGTTAGAACACGCTCCGCCTTGGGGAGGTGTCAGGACTTCAACACTCGTACAAATATGTAAAAACATCATTTCATGGAGCTACAATGACACTTTTGATATATCTGAGAACTACAGATAAATATGTTCCAGTTTTTTAAGGGATGTGTGTCTGTACTTGCTGAATCAAAGATTTTAGCATCTCAGCTATCTGTAGCATTCTAGATCTCACCCTCATGAGGCTCCAAACACTTTCATTTCAGATCCAGATGTGGTAAGAAATAATCACCGACCTCCTGTGTATGCGATTCAGCACTAGTGGTTTCCTCCACACCACCCACACACTACAGGTATTTCACTAATGACGGCTTGAATCACTTTTCTGATCTTCTCCCAGTAAACACCAGTATTTTTGTACTGAGATCTTGGAGTTGGTTTCACTTTTCTTTGCTTCATCCTCCACTTCATGATGAAGAAGTCAGATTTGGGTTGAACCATCAGGAGCTGATCGTCTCTCATCTTCCTGCCGTGTACTCTCCAGTCACATAGTTAAAGCAGGTCAGTAATCCTCACTGAGTCGCTGTTTTCATCTGAATGTATAAACACCGTTCGTAACTGGTTATAAACATTGTCCACTGGCGTTTATGGATCCTGGTTTCTGCTCATCTTTAAAATGTTCCTGAGGATGCTGCTGGTACAAACTACCCTCAGGAGGGAGGTGGTTTGTAAACTAGTTTGCATTAATCCCTCCACACTTAAAAAACCAGCTACCCTGCACCTTCCTGTGTGAGCTGATGGAACACTCGAATGAGAAGTAAGAGCTCTTCAATGATGTTTAAAGTTAAACAACAGAGGAGCAGAGAGCGGCAGTCAGGCCGGGCGGGGCACTCACCTGTTGGACACTATACCAGGGTAGTAACTCTTTTGGTTCTCGTCCACTTTCACATCACTCATCAGAACAAACGCGGTGTCTCTGCTATAGGCCCGGATTACGCTAGAGCCGGTGATGGTCTCAGAGAAATGGGAGTAAATGGGAGAGCGGCTGACCGACTCCAGGCGCTTAAGCTGCCGAGACGTGGCAACGTAAAATCTCTTGAGAGGGGCAGAAAGACAAACAGGCATTACAACCTGAGCAGGCCTCACACAGGTGCAAATATGTGAAGATGTTACACGCCGACGAGTCCACACACACATACAGACTCTCGCACGCAGGGAGGGTAATTACGGAAAGCTTGGAGAACAAAACACCAGCAGTCGTTTGAGCTTCCAGTCACTCTGGCTGGTGATGAGGAGCCTGGTGTAACCTCGGGAATGCTGCTCCCTCTATGTGGAGAGTTGGCTGCTGGGGTTTTGTTTTTCATTACACACACACAAACACACACACACACTATATGGCCATTACAATCATATTTGCCATCTGATAAAGACAAGTGTTAGACGATCACAAGCCTAGAGTGTCAGCTGCGTCCTCATTTTTCAGTCAAATTAATCAGGAGGGTGATGATGAAGACCCGGCATGCAGCAGGACGCACATGACGACGAAGCAGCAGGGTTAGTGCGTGTGTGCGTGTTAGGGTTGTCACGGTGTGAAAATGTAACCTCACGGTTATTGTGACCAAAATTATCACGGTTTTCGGTATTATCGCGGTATTTAAGCGTGTTACATTTTCAGACAATTAAATAAACCCTGTATATCAGGAAAATATTGTCCTCAGTTTGTGTCTAAATTTAGCCTAAAATGTGTTATTTTGTAATTATGTTGTTTGTTTACATTTTTCCCCTTTAGTCTTTAAAATACCAACATTTGCCCATAACTTCTTATGTTTTGTCTGTTTGATGTCATCATTTTAAAAATATTAGATCAGATGATACTCAGTGCTCAAGTAGCCTTCTAATCAGATACTTTTTTACCCTTACTTGAGTAATAAACCCTATATCAGGAAAATATTGTCCTCGGTTTGTGTCCTTCCATTGAGCTTTGCAGATGTGGGAAAATGTCATCAGGCAGTAATCATTGTTAAATTCATAATTATTCTCGGAGAGAGACCAACTCTTATCTGCCCCTGGGAGCCCCGTAATGCATAGCGTCATTTCAACATGGGGGTGTCCGCGACACGGTTTATATGCAGGTAGCGGCGCTGCGGCTGCTTTATATAGCGACTCGTTGCATTCTCCCTCAACCCAAATCCTCGGATCACGCATTTTAGCTAAAACGCTAACGTTAGCTTGCCTTGCGTTGACTGTAGAGTTGTGGGTGATGGTCACGCAGATGTGTCATGAGATCTGAAGCGTTGCTGCCTTTCACAGACACTTTTTCTGCACGTGCTGCAAACAGGATAGCCGTCTTCTATCAGCTGTCCCTCGGCATTCTTCAAATATCCAAAAGATGCCCGTACTTCCCACTTTGTCTTCTTTGAGGGATAATAATGTCCTGAGCGCTGCCGTCTCCTCCTTTGGCCATTATTTAAGCTTTAGCTTCAAGAAAGTTTTGGTTGTAAACAACAAAGTGCGCATGTGCCGCCAGCAACTTCAGCAGATGATACGGTGGCTGGTAAGGGTCACCGCACCTACACCGCAGCCACGGTAATCCACCGAGATAACATATGTTTTAAAAAACAAGATGGTTATTATTATTGTCCACTTTTTAACTGGGGTTTACCCCTACACCGGTTACCGTGACAACCCTAGTGTGTGTATGTTAGTGCAGCTTTCATCAAGCCCTGAAACTGCTCATTCTGGAAGGTGTTGAAAATGTCACGAAAGGAGCTGGTGGGACTGCTTTAGGGCGACGGTGGCAGACGAGTTAAAGCAGCAATCCAGAGTTTCCGCCTCTCAGGAATCACATAGGATTCTTTGGAAACCCGTAACAGAGATGGTCCTACCCTGTACTGTGATACAATATAGGCAATAAGTCACCGTTTTTTCACTAAGCCCGCCCACAGAGCACGCATGAGCATTTGAGAACGTACCTACACTTATGCAGAGTTGGAGCATTTCTCATGGACAAGTAATGTAAGTCTTTAAATATCTATATATGAATAAACAGCACAACGTGAAAATAATGATGTTAAACATTGTGTTTTAGCTCTGTTGGCGGGCTAGAGGTGGGCATTCATAAACGAAAGGCGCTTCGTCCAGCCATCATCACCCATGTAGACACAGGGGATGGGGTGCAGTACACTTTCAGGCTCTAGATGGTGCCGTCTGACAAAAAACTCAGATTTTTTGTTATAAGTGGCTGCCCTGTAACCAGTTCAAGTCAGTCTGTCGCTGTGTCCTGGAGCAAGTGTACCCCAGGGCAGCTGTAGCTACGATGTAGCTCCTCACCACCAGTTTGTGAATGTGTGAATGACTGGTGTTTTGTAAAGCACCTTGAGGGGCTGTAGGACCCTAGGAGGCAGTGTATCAGATACAGGCCAAGTCATATGTGAGAAACATGTTTTGTATCGACCATAGAGCTAACTTTTCAGCACAAGTATTTAAAAAGTTTCCTTTAAAACTTACTTAAAATCAACATTTAGTTTTAGGATTAATCTTTGAACTTCATGCTCAACAGTTTGACTCAAAACAAAATAATGTACTGGGTGGGCCATTTATATGGATACACCTCATTAAAATCCGAATGGTTGGTGATATTAACCTCCTGTGTGTGGCACATTAGTATGTGTGAGGGGGCAAACTTTTCAAAATGGATGGTGACCATGGTTGCCATTTTGAAGTTGGCCATCTTGGATCCAACTTTTGTTTTTTTAATGGGAAGAAGGTAATGCGACTCATCAAACTTATTGGAAATTTCACACAAAAAACAACTGTGTGCTTGGTTTTAATGTAACTTTATTCTTTCATGAGTTATTTACAAGTTTCTCTTTGTTCACAGCCATTAACATGTCAAAGACACGTAAGGAGCGGCTCGAAATTGTGTTGATATCTGGTGAACGCAGTAACCGGGTCATTGCAGCAGATTTCAGTGCAAGACACTCTACGAGACCACCCATCCCCCATGCTACAGTTGGCAAACTGCTAGCTAAGTTTTGTGAAACTGGTTCTGTGTTGGATTTGCCAAAATGTGGACGCATGAAAACTGTCACTAATGAAGAAACATCAGTGGCTGTCCTAGCTTCATTCAGCAAGAGCCCACAGCGTAGCACTCGCTGCATGTCACTGGAGAGTGGCATTAGTTGAACATCCCTTCAGTGCATATTAGCTACTCACAAATGGCACCCTTACAAACTCCAGTTACTGTAGCATCTCTACGAGCATGACCCAGAATTTGCAGAATGGGTAAAACAAAAATTGGAACAGGACCCTCAGTTCACGCAGAAGATTTTGTTCAGTGATGAGAGTAACTTTTATGTGAATGGTGAAGTTAACAAACAAAATCACCGTTGTTGGTCTGACACTAACCCACATTGGACAGATCCATCCAAGACTGTTGGAACAAAACGAGTGATGTTATGGTGTGGTATATGGGGTACAAAGACAGTGGGGCCATTCTTCATCCATGGAAACCTCATGGCCACTGGATATTTGAAATAACTACATGATAATGTGTTTCCCTCTTTATGCACTGAAGCTTGCACGTTCCCTCAGGTTTTCCAGCAAGATGGTGCATCACCACATTATGGGTAACAGGTCCGAGCATTCCTAGATGAACAGTTTCCTGGAAAGTGGATTGGCTGTCGTGGGCCAGTTGAATGGCCCCCAAGATCTCCTAATCTGACACACTTAGACTTTTATCTTTGGGGTCATCTGACGGCAATTATCTATGGTGTGAAGATACAAGATGTGCAGCACCTGAAACTAGGGATGCTAGAAGACTGTGCTAGCATTTCTCCTGCAGTGTTGCTATCAGTGTGTGAATAGTGGGAGAAGAGGGTTGCATTGACAATCCAACACAATGGGCAGCACTTGAACACATTTTTTTAAGTGGCCAGAAACTTGTAAATAACTCATGAAAGGATAATGTTACGTTCAAACCAAGCGCAACACACACCATTGTTTTTCTTGTGAAATTCCCATTAAGTTTGATGTGTCACATGACCCTCTTCCTATTGAACAACAAAAGTTGGATCCAAGATGGCTGACTTCTAAATGGCCACCATGGTCACCATCCATCTTGAAAAGCTTGCCCCCTCACATATATTAATGTGCCACACAGGAGGTTAATATCACCAACCATTCGGATTTTAATAAGGTGTATCCAAACAAATGGCCCACCCTGTACTGTCGCTACATTAAACTAGTCAGTGGCACGAGGTTTATCTGCTAATCCAAATGAAGTGACTAGTAAGTAACCTTGGACATGGCCTCTCCCAAACAGACAAAACTACTGGAGCATCTAACTACCCCCCACCAAACTACAGAGCTGCTGCAAAACCCACCACAGCCTGCCAGAACTACCGCTACAGAGTAAAGAATCAATTCACACTCCGACTAAAAGCACAGCAATGATCACTGGTTTAAACACACGCGATAGTCTACCAGCACACACACACACACACACACACACACACACACACACACAGCCATGCATGTTGCATTAATGAGTTAGCACACGTGTTTCCTATTTACCTGAACCCACCAATAGAACACCATTAACGGGGCTACCACTATGAGGAACATTGGGGTGAGGGCTGAGCATATGAGCAGCACATTCAGTGTGTACCAGAAAGTGCGCATCCATATGTCAATATTGTCTGGGATGTGGGAGTCTATAGAATCCACGTCTTTGCTGAAGCGGTTCAGTAACCGCCCAGTAGGGGTGCTCTCGAAGAAGGCCTGCGGGGCCCGCAGGACCCCCTGCAGCATGTTGAGGTGTGTGAGCTTGGCTGCACGTAGCATGCTGTAGGCCCGGCACAGCAGGCAGTTAACCAAAATCAGCACACCTGTGAGGAGGGAGGTAGGGAGGGAGGGGTGACAGGTGTGACAACACAACGATACGTGTGTTAAACAGGTATGGTCTAATGAAAGTGCAGCAGCCATTGATTCACAGACACCTGGTGGGGGTGGAAACACTAAGAAACTTTTAGCTGTAATACTGGTTTTGTGTGTTGGTGCTGTAGTTGTCCCTCTCATCAGACTCACATCACAGAAAACTGTCCCGTCACCCAGCCCGTCAACAGCTGAGGACGTGGGAGTCAGCTGGAGGAGAAAGTAGCTATTGGTTCTAAATATTTAGACTTTAATCTTAAAACTGGGATTTTAAACCTTCCTCTTTAAATCTGCTGAGTGGCTCTGACAAGCCTGTGATACTTCAGTGGAGTGAATAACATGAATAGTACAAAACAACTGTAAGGTCTAGAGAATAGTGTTTGAAGTGTGGTGATTTTTTTTGTAATCAGCTTAATTTCATTTGTTCATCTATTTTCTGGATTCCACCTCCACAGACGAGAGGATCTCCAGTTTGTAAAAAAAAGTCATTAAATATTTATAAAGTGTGTTTTTGGGACTGGATTTGGTAATCTGTCTCGATCGGTCTCACCCTTCAGTGTTAAACCCAAATAAAGGTTGGGTAGATTGAAGAAGATCAAAGTGACACTTAGACAGCGTGGGTCTGTAGCCACACACCGGTGCCACAGGTTTGGAGTTCAGCATTCTCCACAAAGCCTGCGTCACGGCCTTTTTATAGTTGATCATTCGTCTTTTAATGTTAACCTTTTTGAGTTTGTGTTTTGCATTATCTTTATAATGCTCGTCGTCTGATTGCTCGTTTTTAGAACCTTTTTCAACAATAAAACCATTTTCAGTTCTCATGTTATCCCCATCCTTCACATTTTACCAACAAATGTCGGGGACGTAACAGCCTGTTAGAACATCTGTGATGTAACTAATGCAGACAGTCCCCTCTCTCTCTCTCTCTCTCTCTCTCTCACACACACACACACACACACACACACACACACACACACACACACACACACACACACACACACACACACACACACACGCCACCAAACAGCCTTGATGTAATCACAAAACCAGATCCAGAACCCCTGGTTGGTGCCACTGGGCTCCAATTAGAGCAGGATGACTTGTACTGGCATTGATTCACCACTAGAGGTAGGCAGCACAACAGCTTAGACTAAAATGTTCATTTCTGAGGATTTTCCGTGTGTGTGTGTGTGTGTGTGTGTGTGTGTGTGCGTGCGTGCGTGCGTACGTGCGTGTGTGTGTGTGTTGCAGGCAAGACAGGAAGTGTTTTTCTGCAAAGAAAGAGAGAGAGAGCAAAAGAGCAAAAACAAATGACAGCAGCAGGTGCTCGTCACCAACACTGCAGGCTGAGGGGAAACAAAAGCCCACACTGGGAGGTTACAAAGGTCGCTGCACCAAACATGCTGCATGCCACTCCAGGAAGAAGAAGCATCTGACATTAGCACAGAAAGAGGAACAGAGTGTGTTATCCGTCACAAAACACAGAAAGAGTACCTGGACAAAGACGTATATGATAGCCAGGGGTACAATGGCCACAGCAAAAATGGGTGTGCTGCTAATGATAACTATTAAGGTGGAGAGAGAAACGAAGAAGGTGCCCAGGAACATGAGCACGGTGGATGGCAGCGCCTCGTCTATCACGTAGATGTCCTTGGAGAAGCGGTTGATGATGCGTCCTATAGGTGTGGTGTCAAAAAAAGACTGGGGTGTGTGAAGTTTGTTGGCGAGCAGGTTAAAGTGCAGCTTCTTGGCTGCTCCGATGTTCCCAATAGCTAGAGTGAAGGAAGAGATCATGACCAGGACACCTGCAAAAGAGTTCAACCACAGGAGGGGGAAAGATGACAGGTGACTTAGAGAAGAATCACACAGAGCATGGTGTCTCACATCCACAGGCTCCTGCTAGGAGAAGAAGCATGATGATGTTCAGACAGAAAGCCTCCTTCCGTCAACACAAACACATTTCTAATCTAGCTGAAAAACAAAAGGGTTATTTTATAACGGGGGCGGCACTGTGAAGGTAAAACCAGGAAATGAAACATGTAGACCGTCAGAGTTCTGTAGGGGTGGCTGGCGATGTTGGACCAGGAAGGTTAAGACCTTCAAATAAAAAGTAAAAATTTGGTTATTATTAGTAAAACTAATTTAAAGCCTTTTACAAGTATTGTATATGTTGGTGGAGCACAGATTAATCCAGAACAACATTTAAACATCCACGAGTCTGTTTGAGGCAAAGGTCCAAACTTTAAAAACAAAAGTGAGAAGAAAAACAAGAAAATGCTCCCTCCTCAGAGCGTCTAAATCAGTGGTGTCAAACTCACACGGGCCGAAATGAAACTCTGCGACGGAGTCGAGGGCCAAACTTAATATTTTTTGAAGAAGTGACAGCAAATTTCCACATTTTCTTTATCAACATATATGCAATTTTGAACCTTTTAATTTGGAAACAAACTTATTTCTGCATTAACACTGAATGTGGAATAACCAAATTACACACGAGCAAGTCAGGTTTAAATAAAAGGCATCAGTGGTATTCATTACTTGTGGTATATTCAGCATTTTAAAATCTATTCAGGATTTATGTTTTCTTGTTTATTCATTTTTCTTATTTTTTATTCTCCTTTTTTTCTCCTGTAATAAGTGTCATCGCTGCTGTGATGTCTAGCTTTCTCCACTGAGGAACAATAAAGGGATTTTCTATTCTATTCATCTATCTGCAGCCTTTCCACTTCCTGTTTACTGTAGGTTAAATCTTTTCTCACGGGCCAACAACATAAAAATTTCATTTTATCTTAAATGAAAATGCAACATCTCACCTGTTAACTTTCATGTTTTGGAGCAGAAAAAGAGCATAAAACCAACATAGTTAAAGCTCAGTTTGTTCCACTGGTTTACTGTGATGCTCACCTGTTCCAGCCAGATACCTGCATCATGGGGTTGGTCTGAGCTGAGGAGGAGACTCCTGTTGTTTTGTTCATCTTCATCATAATAATGACAACATTAGATGACAACAGGTGCTCACATAGGTTTGTGCTGATGAACATGTCTGAGCAGCTGGACCACGTTGTTGTGTGTCGGGGAGGAAAAATAAAAACTACAGCAGCCACAGAGCCATGCTGGTTTGAGCGTGTCGCTGCTCGCTGGAGTTATATCAGCTCTGTCTGGAAGTTAGTTTGAAAACTTTCTCTTTCAGTCGTGAACACATTACTGAGCGGCTAGAATCTCTGTTTCTGGGCTTCAACGTCAGAAAATAGCTGAGTAAACTCGGTGCTGAGTGAGAGGAGTGTAGTTTGTCCGAGACAGCAGAGCTGCAGACACCGGCAGCAGGCGCTGAAAAAAACACAAAGGAGGGGGGCGCGTCGGCTCCGCACTGACGCCGCAAAGCATCATGGGAGTTGAAGTATTTGCGGTAAAATCGGCCAGCGGGCCAGTTTTAATATATTTTTGATATTTATCTCGCGGGCCACATAAAAATGCTCCGCGGGCCGCATCTGGCCCGCGGGCCTTGTGTCTGACATATGTGGTCTAAATGAAAGAAAGAAAAATATATTTTCTATAGCGCCTCTCAAGATTAAAAATCACGAGGTGCTTCACAAAAACAAAAGATTTTAAATAAATGATTAAAAATGTGTTTTAAATGAGAAAAAATTCTTGTGATTAAAAAAATGTAAGGAGAGGGAGACAGAAAATCAATAGGAAAGAGGGAAATCAGTGGATTGTGGAAAAAGAGCAGAATAAGGAGAGAGTGACGAACGTCATACCAAAACCAGCCTGAACAGGTGAGTTTTCAGCTGTTTTTTAAAGAGCAAGTCACCCCCAAATAAACTTGTTTTTGCTGATAAACTAAATAAACGAGTGTCTAATCGTGCTGCAGACACGTGTCGTCAATAATTTGGCACTTCAGTGCATCTTAGTTAAAATTTAAATATTCTGCCTAAAACTGGCAGTGTTGTGCCGTTGTCAGGTAAAAACTCTGCACTGTATTTTAATTTAAATCTGCCACCGCTATTGGCTAAGAGGTATGCTATGATGTAAACTGGTACATTATGATGTCACAATGCTGTCGTGAGCCTGAGTGTGTGTGTATTTGTTAGCGGCTCTGCCCTCTCGGTCTGCCTGGCAACAGCATGTGTTGCATTTTTCAAACATGAAGTGGGAGTGGAGTTAGACTCTGGTAGGGGTTGACTTGCTCTTTAGAGGAGTCCACTGAGTCCACTGATCTCAGGCTCACAGGGAGAGAGGTCCAGAGTCTGGGGGCCACAGCAGCAGATGATCTGTCACCTTTGGTCTTTAGCCTGGTGCTGCACAACCAGTAGGCTTTGGTCACTGGACCTCAGGGACCTGCTGGGGGTGTAGGGACTAAGATCACCAATGTAAGATGGTGCTTGTCCATGTAAGGCCCTATAGACCAGAACCAGGATCTTGAAATGAACCCTGAAGTTGACTGGCAGCCAGTGAAGCTGGAGGAGAAGCGGGGTGATGTGGGTGTGTTTGGAGGACTTGGTCAGAAGCTGAGCACAGGCGTTCTGACCCACCTGTAGACGGTTCAGGGAGGTTCTGCTCAGACACGTGAAAAGAGAGTTGCAGTAGTCTAAGCGTGAGGAGATGAAGGTGTGGAGAACTGTCTCAAGTTCAGAGCAGGACAGAATGGGACTCAGCTTAGCAACGTTCCTGAGATGGAAGAAGGAAGAGCCAACAAGAGAACTGACATGAGAATCCAGGGTGAGAGCTGGGTCAAAGGTCACGCCAAGATTCCTGTTAGAAGGTTTGGTGTGAGAAGCAAGGTGACCAAGAGAGTCTCTGACTTTGGGAACCAGCTTGTCTGGGGCACAGATGAGGATCTCAGTCGTATCTTCATTCAGCTGAAGAAAGCTCCCAGCCATCCAGATTTTGATAGAGTCTAAGCAGGTGTGTAACAGCTGCAGCTTAGACATCTCATGGGGCTTAAATGAGATGTACAGTTGGATGACATCTGTATAAAAGTGGCAGGAGATTCCTCTAAAGTAGCTCAGGGTGTGAACTGCAGATGAAGCAGATAGAGGAGGAAGTGCAGAAGCCCCAACACAGAACCTTGTGGGACACCATTGGTAAGGGAGGTAGGGTTACCAATAAAACCAGTAGCCTATGTTCAGAAAAAATAAAACATTTGTTTAAATAAAATACCACAATGATGGGCACACTTTAACAGTGTTTAATACGACCATCACTCCAATAAACAACAAATACAAAATTTAACTAAAAGTCTAAATGTCTCTTCCAGAAAAAATTGTGTTGCACTTCCATTAAAAAAAAAACCCTGGTTTGGACTTTTTCTGTGTTCGCAAATCAGTCCATGTATCATTACGTTGCTCAAAGAGTCACATATTGCCCATCGTCACATATTGGACTAACGATTGGTGGTTGGAAAAATGATACAAAACGCCCAACCCTTGTGCGGGTCATTCACTCCTAAGAACCCAAATTATTTACAAATATTAGATCTAATGTATTACCATTATGATGTTTCCCTACCGAGGGGACGATCAGGGGACTTTTTGTTTATTCTTCTCTAATAAGTACTTTTTAGAACTTTTGTCTGGCAAACACTGCATATTTCGAACACCCCCCCCCCCCCCCCCCCCCCAGGGACTACAAGGAAATGGTGTGGTTGCATTTTTAAGTCACTTTCAAAATAAAAATAAATTAGTAGTTAAAAGACTAATATTTATGTACAGCAAATAAATCATGACAATGTGTCCACCCCCCACCCCCCCACCCCCCCAGGTACCTTGAGTGATGCCCAGCGCAGCATACACCCCCACCCTCATGGGAACATCCACCTGGGTCCCATTTCCAGAGGCGTCGTTGGTCCACTGGCTGAGCCAGATGTTTGCTCCGATGGAAGCGGCGCTCTGACAGCCGTACAGCAGGATGATGATGACGGAGAGCAGCGGCCCCACTGCCTTGGCGTACTCCAGGTACACTTTGGATTTCACCTGTTTACGAGTGTAAAGTCAGCAGGGTTCATTCAATTCATTTCTCGTCATCTTCTTCCTCCGAGGGTCATGGGGAGTGGTGTCATACTCTAGCAGACATTAAACCAGTCACACACTCCCTCACACCTGGAGACAGTCTCCTGTTACATGTGTGGCGTAGGAGAAGGTCATGTAATGCAAAGGTTATAGGGAGCCTAAGTCATGCCCATCTACTTCTGGACCATGGGTCCCCGGAAGAACTAAAAAATTAATGCAAGTCAAGTCATATATGCATGACGACGACGACAACTTGCATTCCTTTTTTCGTTCTTCCGGGGACTCCTGAGCCAACTGGAAAGGGAGAAGACTAGAGGGCCATTCCCATCTGTACCGGGTCGGCCCGGGCCGGGTAGCCCCAGTCGGCCCCAGCCTGGCCCGGTTGATTCCACACATCCTTGCCTTAAGCATATGTGGGCTGATTCTACCCACCAATCAGAGGCTTGCTCTAATGGAAGGTGTGAATTTGCTGTCAGCAGTGGGTGTGTTGGCCCTGGTTGGCCTGAAGCAGACCCCCTCGAGAAGAGGGCTGAGAATGAGCCTTGGTTGGCCCGGAAAAATACCAGGCCACCCAGATATGTAAACAACCTACGCTACCCAGCGCGGACCGACCCGGAACAGATGGGAATGGCCCATTGGGCTCCCTATGACATTTGTCAACAACCTGCCCTATCAGTGGGCAGAGGTCATCAGACATTAAGTGCCCAGCCAGTTTCATCTGCCTGGAATACGGTCTACTTCTTCATACCAGTCTCCTGTTTTTTCGTTTTACCCTCGCCATCTGGGTATTCCTCATATTCTTAAGACGTCTGGATATTCGTGGTGTTGGTGTCAGGTTTCCTGCTTTTTGGCCTGAGTGGTTATCTGGCTTACTGGAAAATGAATGAGCTTTCGAGGAATATTGGCTCAATCCCGGAGCTCAGGGATGGATTACACCGCGCTGTGAACGCACAAACTCATAATTGTCGAGATGAGTCGTAAGCTTGGAACTTTGGCTGAGATTCAGACTCTGGCACAGAAGGTGGATTCGATCAGGGAGCGAGTTGATGGATCAGCAAGGATTGGGATTGATTAACTAGACCATTATTGGATTGAGAGGGGTTGAGGACCAACGGAACTCTAAGACAGAGAAGAAATTATCTCTGTCTGGCCCCAAAACAAGTTCTTATCTGAATCTGGTGCCATTGAGCCTGTGAGGCTGAAGTGATTACTCCCCCTCAGAAGAAATGTGGAATGCTGTCGTTGCCATGGCATTTCTGTCTCCCTATCCCAGCCTGGGCGGGACTGTGACCGCTGAAGGCCGTTGAATCATTCCAGCAGTCACTGTGCCCTCTAAACCCAACTACCTCCCTCCCCTGTCCAAACGGAGGTGACGAGCGCTGCTTGTCGCGGCTGCATGCACTGACGTGTGGAGAGTCCCAACACTACCTCCCCACCTAGTGGACACTAATGTTGTGTGATGTCTGAAGTCTGTTGCATTTCTGTCTGAGGTGTTTTTTGCATAGCAAAGCTGCCCTCCCTGTGGAGGGTAACTCTAAAGTGCCTTTTTCTTTCCTCAACCTGACTCAATCCTCATATATAAACCCTCTGATCTCTATTAAGGTAGCACGACTCGGGTTGCTAATGACCACAGTCACCAATTCTTGTCATGTGTCTATGTCTTTGTATGTATGTCATGTATGCTTTCTGACTGGAGGGCCGCTTGACGCTTTTATTTTGATGAGCAGCAAATGCGGTGTGTTTGAACTTTCTGAGTGTGGTTGTGATTATTTTCTGTGTTTGAGCAGACGGGTTGGGACTGGTGACATCACTGGTCAGAACTAAGGTTCCAACACCTGCTTTATTTCAGTAACAAACTCTGAGACCAGAGAGAAACACAAAGTGGACGACTAACCCGGCCTGTCTCTGCTGTCTCGGCCTGGATGAGCTTCTGCACCTCCGGGGGTTTCTTCTTCTCCTGAGACACACTGTGCTTCCTCTGGCTGCAGCCGTGTCTCTTCACAGAGCGACACCTGAAGTTCTCTCCCTCTGAAGACATAACGCTGATTTGTCTAGAAAGCAGAGAGGCCGGTAAGCTTGTGGTGTTTACAGTTTTTAATGTGGCTCTTGTTGTTGCCCAGCACCTCATAAAACTTTTCCTGGCTTCATTGATCACAGGTTCGTTGTCCACCATGTCTGTGTGGTGATTGCTAAGGACGTCATCAGGGAAGAACTCCTCGTCTTCTAACAAATCCTCTGTGGAGCCAGTAAGAGAAACAGAATGAGGCCAACCTTCCTCTTAGAAAAGAAAGGACACAAGGCAGAAGAAGTGCTGTCTCACCGATGGCCTCGTCCTCCTCGACGGTGTCGTCTAAAGCATAGTTCCGGAGGAACTCAGCAAAAGCCCCGTTCTGTTTGAGCAGCTCCTGATAGGAGCCCATCTCTGACACCCCGCCTTCCACCATCACCACGATGTTGTCCACCTGAGGCAGGAAGCTGATGCCGTGCGTCACTAGGATGCGAGTCTGGAGATAACGGAAGAGTGTATAATTATAGACGACTTGTTCATCACACTTTCCCAACAGACAGCACTCGTCAGACACCTGGGTCAACGATCACAACGCCAGGCTGAGAAAAAGACTTGCGTTCTAGTAAAACGTGGGACTTCATTTGGGATTTCCACTTCAACAAAACAATGTGAAGCTGTGCAGGAGCCCCATGGTGGCTCTGGGCTCTAGGTAGGGCTGCAACAAACGATTATTTGGATCATCGAGAAGTCGGGAAGATGGACGCTGCTGCAGCATCAGACAGCTGGTGCAGCATGAGAGGTGTGTGGAGTTTACAAGCTCCAGACGTTGGGTTTGATGTTGGTTTAACCTTCTCTGGGACGTGATGGATGTAGAAATGATGGTAAGACACCGCTAACGTGACAGACGTAGCGACAACGTAAAACAAAAAGACGTAAAAAAGAGGCGGATGCCAATACGTTATGTATGGAAGTCAAGTATGCCACATAATCATAAAAAGTTAAATATAAAATTTAAAAAGAGATTTATGTATTTATTTATAAATAAAAATTTCCAAATACAATGAAAATTTCTAAATAACGTAAAAATACGAAGGAACATTTGTTGGTCAGGCTGAAAAGTTTGGGAACTACTGCTCTTAGTGATGCGTGAATATTGTTTCTTATTATATTTTATGTGCAGTTTTTTAGGGCTTTTATGTTTTCTGTAAAGATCGGTATGCTGAAAATCATTTAATGTTTTGCATAAAGCATGAGGTTTTGGTTAGTAATTGATTGGGAGAATAACAAATGACTGAATTAAATAGTGGAGCACCTCTGTCAGTGCGCCCCAGGGCACCTGTGGCTACATCGTAGCTCATCACCATCAGTGTGTGAATGTGTGTGAATGGATGAATGATCCACTGTAGTGTAAAGCGCTTTGGAGTCCTTACTCTGAGAGGCGCTATACAAGTGTGGATTATTTATCATTTATAGTGTTGATCAGGCAGAGCTTTGTTGCATAACGGCTTCAAACACGTATATAAAAGTTAGTTTTTACGTAAACCGTTGGATGAAATTACACAAACTGACTGAGCTCTAGTTAAGGCGCTTGCAATAGTTTGTGTGTGTGTGTGTGTGTGTGTGTGTGTGTGTGTGTGTGTGTGTGTGTGTGTGTGTATGCGTGTGCGTGTGTGTGTGTGTTTGGGGGAGGGTACATTGGAACTTTGTCCCCCCCAGTCTGAAAATCCTATCTGCGCCCCTGCCTACCAGAGCAGGTTAAGATGATGATGCCTCACTTAGAGCGTTATTGCTGGTTTTGTCATCACCAAATGCTGATAACATTTAATTTCTACTGCCAAAAATGTAAAGGTGACATATCTATTCCGTATGAGTTAGCAATAATCCAGTTAAAATTATGTTCAAAGATAGACACGTTTGTGAATTACATGCTACAGTGGCTTGCCATACGCCTGCAGCGGCGTTGAGCAGAGCACTTGAAGCAGCAACCTGACTGCAGCGGTTCTGCTCTATAGCGCTGCCGACAGCTAATAAACAGGATGGTGGGGGCTTTCTTCCGCTTCTAGAGTTTAGATATTCTTACTTTCACGACCATCGTGTTTTTCCAGAAACCCACTTGATCGTTAGCCTGTTACCGACTAGCAATGGCTAATCTGCCCATTTCTGCCTTTGTGTCTTTGCTGGTGTCTGTTTTCCTCCACAGCACCTAGATTAGCACGTTGTGGGCCAGTAAAGAGCATCTCCCTCGCCCAATAACAAGCAACTTACCTTTGTTCAATACAGTTCTGGGAAAAACGTGACTTGAAAAGATATCGCACGATGGCTTTGACTAAAAATAGTTAATCGTTGTCTGTTGTTGCGGCCCTAGCTGTAGGTCACCATCAGGGTTCTTTCATTCCATCAGCCATGCTGTCCAAAACACACAGCTTATAATAATTATAATAATTAAAAAGTCTAGAACTGGGGTCAACTTTCATTACGATTGGTTCAAAACTGAAAGTAAAGTACAGCCTCTCCATCCATCGTAGGCGAGTCCTCTCACCTTGCCCTTCAGCGCCCCCTCCGGACCAATCAGGTTGTCAAAGATGTGTTTGGCAACATGAGCGTCCACGGCAGACAGGGGGTCGTCCAGCAGGTAGACGTCGGCGTCGCTGTACAGAGCTCGAGCCAAGCTCACCCTCTGTCTCTGACCTCCAGACAAGTTGATGCCCTGCGTGACAAAATGTGTTCTTTTATCACTACGGTTACTTTGATGTAGATTAAAGTAGATTAAAAAAAGATCAAAGTAGGAAAAATGTGCTGCAAGTTCAACAGAGAGCTGAGAAAACCTCAATAAGCTGTTTCTAACTAGACAATGTGCTGTTTGTACCTTCTCTCCTATCTCTGTCATGTCTCCTCCTGGCAGCACCTCCAGGTCTGGGGTTAAGGCGCAGGCGTCCAGGACGCGGTGGTATTTCCGCTCATCGTAACTTTTCCCAAACAGGATGTTGTTCCGCAGGGTGGCATTTTGAATCCAGGCCTGCTGCGGAACATAAGCCACAGAGCCCTGAGGACAGAGAGAACCTGGTGGTGTTTTGGACTCGAATCAACCGTTTCACACTTTCAGGCCGTCATCTATGCAGGAATTATTATGAGACATGAACATGTTAGAAAAAGATCAGCTGTGTGAAAGTGTGTGACCATAAAACAGGATTTAATGCACTAAATGACGCATTCATGACTGCTGCATTAAGGTGAAGACTGTCTTCAGACAAAGAGTGTAACTCAGAAATGACAAATCGCGTCTCAAGGCCTTCATTTATTTTATCTCCTGCTAGAATCACACATGTAGGCAGAGCAGGGCTCAGATCCTCGTCAGAGAAAGCAGGCCAAACCAGGTCACGGCTTGTAAAATAAAAATGGCTGAAAGATGTAAAACCTACGGTCATGATGGAAACCAGCGAGTACGGTGATGGTAATCTTTGGGACCAGTCATCAGAGAACACAACATCTTTCACCATTGCCATTCCCAACTGGGTAATTCACTCATTCCAGAACAATCGAATCCTTTTACCTTTCAATGCATGCCTTGAAATGACAGCATGAGCTGTGACAGGATCAATAACGCTACTTCAGATACCACGCCATCTTAGATGGACTTGACAGGTAACTAGAGTGGGATGGACTGACTGGTGGACACGGGAGAAGGGGTGGGAAGGGTGGTTTTGGGTTATAAACAGGAGGATCATTGTTGATTGTTTAACGAGTTGTAATATTGTTGTAGCTGCCAAATAAAAAGCAATGACAAAAACACAGAAAACACCCAAACAAAACCAACTAAAGCCACATCAGGAGGGGCCAGCTGAGGTGTTGTTAGGATGCCTTCTGAATGCCTCCCAAGTCCCTCTTAGTCAGGGAAAAATCTTTTCACTGCATTTATCAAGATGTGGTGATGGATGGAGACTAAATGTAAAGAAGCCACTTCTCTCTAAGGAAAACATCAGAGACAGACTGATGTTCAGCTTAGGGTCCAGGAATTGGACTGCTGAGGACTGGAGGAAAGTCTTGTTCCTGTTCTGATTATTTGAAACTCCTGGTTAAATAATCATCTGGAGAGGAAAAGGGGGAGTGGGCTCATTCACAATTATGTCTCAGAACAGTCATGACTATGGAGTGGAACCTAAACATCATCCCAGAGGAACTCCTCCAACCATCTAACAACAGTTTGGCGAGGAATGAGGTCTTCTCCAGCATGATGGAGCACCGGGCCAGAAGGGTAAAGTCAGAACTAAGTGGATCAGGACCCAAACATCAACAGGGTGGGTTCAGGTCCAGAAAACTGTCCAGACCTTAATCCTACTGAGAACTTGTGGTCCATCCTCCAGAGGCAAGAGGACAAACACAAACCCACAAAGCATTGGTGATGAAGAATGAGCTCCATCAGTCAGCATCTGGACCAGGAGGTGATGGACAGCAGGTCAGAGTGAACTACAGACATCTAGAAGAAGGACCAACAATGGAGATGCCAACTCCTGGTATAGACTTTATGTAATAGCGTATTCATATGGAGCAGATCAAGAGGTGCACGTATATTTGTACTAGCAGCTCTCAGAGAAGGAGTTTTCCAGGAGGCAGTGACTCTAGCTGAACGTCTCGGCCAAACAGCGTCCAAATGTGGACGAAAAAGGCTTCTGATCAGAGGTGGGTGGTATGTAAAAAGCAGTGAGACTTAAACACAGCCTAGGAGTAAAAACAGAACTGTTACGTTAGGTATGGATCTTTGTGAAGTTTTTCTCTGGAATACACATAAAAACATGAGAAAAGAACTGGGAGGCTTATTCGGTGGATGGATTCCCGTATCGCTCTTGATCCGACAGCATCAGCGTGTTGTTAAACTCCTTTTATCTATCAGAGCTTTTAAACAGTGTGTCACATTTGAAAACAGTACACATGGACAACACCCAAACATCATATTGTTCCTACCCGAACAGAAACCTCTCCCTCCAGTTTTTCCATGTCACCCAGCAGAGCAGAGATCAGGGAGGATTTTCCACAGCCCACGTGGCCCACGACAGCCAGCAGGGACCCCTGAGGCACCATCACATTCATGCTGAAAACACACAAACAGCATTTCAGTGGTTTCAGACCGTAGATGGGTGAATCCATACGAGGTGCGGCCGTGTGTCACATACTTGTGCAGGACGGGAGGATCTTCTTTACCCCACGTAAACTTCCCATTGACTACTGAGACTGAGAACTCTGTTGGGCAACAAAAAGACAAATTACTGTCTTTACACAAGCTTTTGAATGGCTGACAGATGAAAAACCACCCTTCATTCAGTGCTTTCCAGGCTCCGAGCCTGCTCTAAGCTTTTGGGTTTTCGCACTGACATAATGACAATGCACTTTAACATATTGTTGTGACTTTAAAGAAAGGAAGAGGAGTGGCTGTGTTTGGTTTTACCCGTGCTTGAGTTCTTTCTGTCCACTGAGTTTGGGTCCAACTCATCGTGACTCAGGAAACTTTGGATTCGCTTCAACGAAACGCTGGCCTGAGACGCAGGAAACACAAAAATCATTCATTCAGTGAAAGCTGCTGAACAGACACGCACGGGGTAGATAAAAACACAGAAAAGGGACAGGACACCTGGACAAGGCCGCTGATGACTTGAGGGAGCATGTTGAGGGGAAATCTGAGGATGTTGAAGAGTGAGAGCGACACAAAGGCCTTCTCCGCGTCAAGGATGTTTTTCTCATCTACAGTCACAAACACAGCAAACGATGTCAAGGCAACCTGTGAACACACGAGCAAAACCAGCAAGCTCAGACATCAGGATCCATCGTGTAAAGTAGATTTGAACCTAAGATCTCAGAGGCTATGGGGCTGAATGAGTCGCTCATTTAAAGGCCCCTGAAAGCATCAAAGGGTTAAAGGCAGTTTAGTAGAGTAAGAATTATGAAATTCCCTGATCCAACATCAAGTTTCTGTATGGGTTTAATATCAGCTATGATGGAATACAGCACCAACTTGCTACTGGGGACAAGTCTGCATGGTGGCGCAGTGGTTAGCACTGTTGCCTCGCAGCACGAAGGTTGCAGGTTCGAAACCCGGCCGCGGTCTTGAAGTTGCGTGTTCTCCACATGCATGTGTGGGTTTCCTCCGGGTACTCCGGTTTCCCCCACAGATCACAACATGCCCTATAGGTTATAAACTGTAAGCTGCTTTGGATAAAAGTGTCTGTCAAATAAATAAACATAAACATAAGTCAGTGACTTGATGCAACCTGCTGGGTTCCTTATGTATAGGAAACGTTTTTCTGATTGGCTTAATGACCTGACCTGTATTGGAATGTTTACTGTGTGAAGTGCCTTGAGACGACTCTTGTCGTGATTTGGCGCTTTATAAATAAACTTGAATTGAATTGAAAAACTCCATAAACAAGCAGAGGTGGGACCAAGAAGACCAATAACAAGAGAAAACATTTAAAATCCTAAGCTAGTTTCACTTTCGGACTAATGAAATCAGAACTAAATCCTGAAGTTCAACTTCAAGTCAAATTAGCAGGAGAAAGGTGACCTCGTTGTCTCGTCTTCCTGTTTTTAACCACCTGAGGGTAAGAACACATCATAGAGTAACTTTCAGTCCCTGATTTCAATTAAATTCATTAACAGTGTCTCAAACATCGTTTATAAAGATTATTGAGTGTTGTTCATACGTGCCTCTTACTTACAGAGGTGTTTAAAAATACAATCAACATGTTTTAAATAGTTCTCTCCAGCTGTTTGTCCCGTCAGAGCCCTTCTTACGTCGAGTGAAAAATGGGAAAACACATAATTAAAAATTAGAATATAAACCATGAAGTTTTGTATATGAAAATAAAATAGCTGGAAGCTGAAAGTTAGATCTTTTCTATGGTTTTGTTTCAGAAAATCATTTGAGGAAATTCCTTACTTTTGATCACTATCTCTAGACTATGACGGCATATTTGTTTGACCGCAAATAGGAAAGCTGCCAGAAAACAAAGTCTTCCTTTACTAAGCCCCATTAGGCTGCTGATATGTTGTCACCCTCAGAAGATACCGAACATGGAAATGTTTCTCCTTGGATTTGCTGTTCAGGACTGGCGCTTACTAGGAAAGGGGCACTGGTCCAGGCCATGGTGGACAGCGCTCCCAGGTAGGCTGTCTTACGCAGCACGTTGAGCTCCTTCTGCCGAATGGCGAGGACTCTATCCTTGAAGGAGTTCTCCCAGGCGTACAGCTTGAGAACTTTGATGCCATTCAGGATCTCGTTCATTAGCTTGATGCGTTCGTCCTTGTACTGCATCTGTTCCACCTGACAATGATACCAACACAAATCGTCCTTGATATGAACAAAAATATGTAAATACCCAATGAGTAATCAGCTATAGAAAGACATCTTGTATAGCAGTCTTGCCTATGGTGTTCCACAGGGTTGTGTTTTAGGTCCCTCTTGTTCACATTATACCTGCATTCTCTTCAGCACACTTTGAGTACCTTTAAGGATGTTTATTTCTATCCAGATGATTTTCAGTTACAGATCTTTTATGTCCCAGGATGTGTCAGAGGCCTGGCCATGTGTTGTGGAGGCCGACTGATATGGTTTTATTTAAGGCCAATGCTGATAACGATTTTTAAATAATTTTGTTGTCGATATCTAAAGCAGATTATTAAGGCAGATACATATACACGATTTAGCAGCACATTGATAAGGAAAGACAAGTGAACGCTCATTGTGTGCAATATAAATAAAATAAGTTAATAAATCTCTTAATATTTATTTATCGGTAAGTTCAAATATAAAATAAACTCAAAACATAACAAATAAAAAAATTATCGGTGTGTCGGGGTCCTTCGGGTCTTTTCTTCAGTCTAGTAGTGGCAGCAGTTGGCCTCACAGGTGCCTGATTTTATTTATGTTTTTATTCAGCTTTTAAAAATAATTTCGGCCGATGGTCGATGTAGGAAAAATAGAATATATTGGCTCGATATATCGGCCAGCCGATATATCTGAAGGCCTCTAATGTGTTGTGTGTTGAGTGCTCTGGTCTGCTCTGAAGCATGTTGGGTCTGCTCTGATCACAAATCAGGGACACCCAACATGTTGGATTGTCTTGCCTCAATATGGATCGGCAAATAAATTTTTATAAAATCGGTATCGGCATCAGCCTTAAAAAAACCCATATCGGTCGGCCTCTACCTACATGTCCTGTTTGTAATCTTGATGTAACTGACTAAGCTTTCACTCTGGACATGTGGCTCACTCTGGATTTCTAGAGTTAGTTTCTTGTGAGTTTCTTTGCATTGCTGGGCATTTGCATGTTAGAATGTATCTCAGGTCATTAAAAACAAGTGGTGGTTTGCTTTGGATATGATTTATAAGAACTGTAACCAGTTCTCCTCCTCGAGGCAGAGGAGACAGTCCACCATGTTCCCAATAAAGAACCATCACCTAAGATTTGGAGGGACTGACACTCATCCTGGCCATTGTACACTTGACTGTGAATATCTGCATGATTGTCTCAGTATGATAAGCACAGTAACACCTCCTGTTGAGTAAAGGTACTGTACTACTCTAATGACAATGACACACACACACTCGCTCTCTCTCACGTCCTTACCTGGTAGGCTCGTGTCTTCATGGCAATGAAAGCATTAAGTGGGATGAGCATCACCATAACTGCTACTCCAGCCAGCACAGACGGGCCGAGGTTCTGGTAAAGCAAAAACCCAAAAGGTGACCTTAGTCAATCAATCAAATATTTTAAGAACCAAAATCCTCACACAAGGAAACAACATAAAGCACATTGAATATCTATGTTTGCAGCCACTTACATTTATTTAGCTTTTAGCTCTCAGGAAATATTTGCTGTAAAATATGTATTTAGGGAAGAGAATTAGAAATCTGAAACGTCTATTGTGGCCTGAAACCCGAGCTTTTTGTATAATGCTGGGATCACACTGCTATTCTTGCCCGTCTTTGCCAAATCCCTCGTCCTGAGCAGCATCGTGACAAAAAACTGTCAGCGTCAGGGTGATGTGCATATCTGTACACCATGCTGGGAACGTACAGTGTGACAGGCTCTGCCACAGCGTTCCGAGCCGTCCCACGACCAAATCAGCCTCAAAAAGTCTTCAAGCACTGGTTGAAAACCTACGACTCCCGTCTGCAATCAACCAATGAAAACGCTGCAGCAGCAAGACTCTGCCTCTCTGAGCTTCTGTTTCAATTTATGGTTAAAATGCGGATTATAAACTACACACCAGTTTTATTTTTGTTATTAGCCCAAGTTAAACCGGAGTTATGCCTAAAATAATTAAACTACCTTTTTAGACCATCAGCTGAATTGTGAAAACCGTGATTCTGTGAGAGCTGAGAGGAAATGAGCTCACGAACATAAAAAATAAAACACAAAAACATGAGAACCCTTTGCTGTTGGTGGAAATCTCACATATTCAGCTGATGAGGATGGTTCAGTAGCGTTTTACTGCAGAGGGACAGAGGAAGCTCCATGACAGCGGGTGTGAGCGGTCACACGGAGCGGAGCAGTGAGACAGAATTCACGGCAAAAGTCTAGATACTGCAGCGATCTGTGCCAGATTGTCACTTCTCTGTAGTTTAGTGGGTTCTTATGGAGAAGGATGAATGACCAGCTGACAGCTCCGCTGTTTAGCTGGAAGACGGGAAAAGGAGACCCGCAGCTGGAGACTGACGCCACAGCGAGGGCTTTAAAAACAAAGCTTCCTCTCTGAGGAAGGTGAGTTGGGTTATGAACCGACACTAAAACTCAGTGTTTATATTTTTCTGCTTGCTTTGGTTAGCGGGCTGCTTGGTGACGTATGCTTTGAGAGGTGCGCTCATGACGCAGCGTGTCCTGCTGGAGCGAGATGTCGTGCAGTCTGCCTCACTGAACTCTTGCGTCGTACAGCGTGACACCTCTCTGCAGTTCTCACAGTATGACTTGAGCAATCCTGTGTGACGGCCAAAAATCGCTGTGTGATCCGGCCTTAAAAAGAGACTTCTCTTGTTTTAGAAGGTGGCATCTGATGAACTTCCTCAACAAAGCATGTTCACCTTCTCTCATGTGGATCAAGACTAGAAGACCCTCGTGACCACTCTAGAGGGAGTGTTTATAAACGAGTTAGTTCGTATAAACCGAGCTCTCATTGGAACATTTCCAAATGACCACTTAAACATTTATTATCCTAAATGAAAGTTAACTTTCATAATGAACCGATACAACTAGGGATGTCCCGATCCGATCACATGATCGGAAATCGGCCCCGATAACGTGGTTTCAGACTGATCAGGACTCAGGCTTTACTTCCCGATCCAAGACCCGATCCGGACTCGGATACTGGCTTCGAATTACAGGAGAGCAACTTGGTTCTCCTTAAAGGTTGTCAGGCTCCCCTGATGCCCTTAACTTACACACCCAGCAGGAGCACAAAGAGATCCAGTTTCTACCTTTATGATATTATTTATATGGACTCAGCGTAGCGGGGATTCTTTAGAGCAGAGCTGCAGAGCGGCTGCAGAGCGGCAGGCAGACCGCTGAGTATTCATGAACTCCAGCTGCGTTCTGCACACGGCCACAGTAACATGTTCCAAGTTTCTAAGTGGCATCACCAAGATTATATAATTAACACACAGTCATTCGTGTCCGTTTATTTTCTCTCTGGTAAGTTCTGTCTGTATTTGAGCATGACGTGTGGACGCACTCGCACTGCAGCGCTCGTCACTGGCACAGCCGGGCTGCGCGGCGCACACTCCGCTTTTTTGCGGTCAATAGATCGATTTGATCTGCTGGTTAAAACGTTACTTGTGAGGTGAAAAAGAAGGAAGCAAGCAGGAGTTTTTCTGGAGGACTGGGAGATGCAGGAAGATCAGAGACAGACAGGACAGGAAGATCAGAGGCAGACGGGACAGGAAGATCAGAGACAGACGGGACAGGAAGATCAGAGACAGACGGGACAGGAAGACCAGAGACAGACAGGACAGGAAGATCAGAGACAGACGGGACAGGAAGATCGGAGACAGACGGGACAGGAAGATGAGAGACAGACGGGACAGGAAGATCAGAGACAGACAGGACAGGAAGATCAGAGACAGACGGGACAGGAAGATGAGAGACAGACGGGACAGGAAGATCAGAGACAGACGGGACAGGAAGATCAGAGACAGACAGGACAGGAAGATCAGAGACAGATGGGACAGGAAGATCGGAGACAGACGGGACAGGAAGATGAGAGACAGACGGGACAGGAAGATCAGAGACAGACAGGACAGGAAAATCAGAGACAGACGGGACAGGAAGATGAGAGACAGACGGGACAGGAAGATGAGAGACAGACGGGACAGGAAGACCAGAGACAGACAGGACAGGAAGATCAGAGACAGACGGGACAGGAAGATCGGAGACAGACGGGACAGGAAGATGAGAGACAGACGGGACAGGAAGATCAGAGACAGACAGGACAGGAAGATCAGAGACAGACGGGACAGGAAGATGAGAGAGAGACGGGACAGGAAGATCAGAGACAGACAGGACAGGAAGATCAGAGACAGACGGGACAGGAAGATCAGAGACAGACGGGACAGGAAGATCAGAGACAGACAGGACAGGAAGATCAGAGACAGACGGGACAGGAAGATCAGAGACAGACAGGACAGGAAGATCAGAGACAGACGGGACAGGAAGATCAGAGACAGACAGGACAGGAAGATCAGAGACAGACAGGACAGGAAGATCAGAGACAGACAGGACAGAAAGATCAGAGACAGACAGGACAGGAAGATCAGAGACAGACAGGACAGGAAGATGAGAGACAGACAGAACAGGAAGATCAGAGACAGACAGGACAGGAAGATGAGAGACAGACGGGACAGGAAGATCAGAGACATTCAGGACAGGAAGGTCAGAGACAGACAGGACAGGAAGACCAGAGACAGACAGGACAGGAAGACCAGAGACAGACAGGACAGGAAGATCAGAGACAGACAGGACGGTCAGAGACAGACAGGACAGGAAGACCAGAGACACACAGGACAGGAAGATCAGAGACACACAGGACAGGAAGATCAGAGACAGACAGGACAGGAAGATGAGAGACAGACGGGACAGGAAGATCAGAGACAGACAGGACAGGAAGATCAGAGAAAGACAGGACAGGAAGATCAGAGACAGACAGGACAGGAAGATCAGAGACAGACAGGACAGGAAGATCAGAGACAGACAGGACAGGAAGATCAGAGACAGACAGGACAGGAAGATCAGAGACAGACAGGACAGGAAGATGAGAGACAGACAGGACAGGAAGATCAGAGACAGACAGGACAGGAAGATGAGAGACAGACGGGACAGGAAGATCAGAGACATTCAGGACAGGAAGGTCAGAGACAGACAGGACAGGAAGATCAGAGACACACAGGACAGGAAGACCAGAGACAGACAGGACAGGAAGACCAGAGACAGACAGGACAGCAAGATCAGAGACAGAAAGGACAGGAAGACCAGAGACAGACAGGACAGGAAGATCAGAGACAGACAGGACGGTCAGAGACAGACAGGACAGGAAGATCAGAGACAGACAGGACAGGAAGACCAGAGACAGACAGGACAGGAAGATCAGAGACAGACAGGACGGTCAGAGACAGACAGGACAGGAAGATCAGAGACAGACAGGACAGGAAGACCAGAGACAGACAGGACAGGAAGATCAGAGACAGACAGGACGGTCAGAGACAGACAGGACAGGAAGACCAGAGACAGACAGGACAGGAAGATCAGAGACAGACAGGACAGGAAGATGAGAGACAGACGGGACAGGAAGATCAGAGACAGACAGGACAGGAAGATCAGAGACAGACAGGAAAGGAAGATCAGAGACAGACAGGACAGGAAGATCAGAGACAGACAGGACAGGAAGATCAGAGACAGACAGGACAGGAAGATCAGAGACAGACAGGACAGGAAGATCAGAGACAGACGGGACAGGAAGATGAGAGACAGACAGGACAGGAAGATCAGAGACAGACAGGACAGGAAGAGAGGAAAATAAAAACCAAGAAAACAAAACAAAGTTCTTAACAAAATAAAATGTAGGTAGATTGATCCCACTACACGTCTGTACCTGTATGAAGCAATAACCTATCAGCATGTAGTATTTATATCGTTGATACAATTCAGATCATCTTCAAAACTCCGTCCCATGCCCAGGGGCGTATCTAAGCATTTTGGGGGCCGAGGCAAAATAGACCCCTGCCAGGTATTTTAAGTGGAAGCGCTATCTGTTTTTATTTTAGACTTTTTATATTTGCAATAAAGTCCAAAAGTGAAGAAATTGTTATTTATTACTTGGTTGTTCAAGCTACCTCACAGATGTGATCTGCTGTTAAAAAATAAAATAAAAAGGTAATTAAATAAAAAATAAGGAGCATTCTGGAACTGTTTCTTCCTTTTCTTTATTTTTTTAATGTATCGAAAGTATTGGATCGGGACTCGGTATCGGCAGATTCTCAAAATCTAATGACTCGGACTCGAGGGCAAAAAAACCTGACCGGGACATCCCTAGGTGTCCTGAGGGGTTTCATGAATAATGAGAAAAACTGTCAGAACCATCTTTAACAGTTTTCTTCTGGTCGTTGAAACTACCTGCCAGAGGAAATACAGCGCCAGCATTATCTGCAGGGGAGCAGACCACAGCATGTTGAGGAAGGTGGTGAGGTCCATGAACCTTTGAGCATCCACAGACATCAGATTCACTATTTCCCCCACCGTAGAGGAACGCTTGGCTGCATTAGTAATCACCAACGCCTGTAGATCAAAGAGGAACCAGACACCCCTGTGTTTAAAAGGTGCTCAGGATTTATTTCATGCATCTGTTACAGAATCAGAGCCTAGGAATTGTTAGCCCGACCATTTGGAGCTCACCTTCCTGTAGATGGCTCCAATAAGAGCGGTGCGGACGTTCATGCCAGTGATGAAGCAGTACTGAAAGTGCCGATGGAGGATGAGCGTTTGTAGTAAAGCCGTGAGGAACATGAGGATGGCCAGCGCGTACCCCCACCAATAAGGGGCCTTTTCCTGCTTCGTGAAGGAGATCAGCATCCTACGACAGAGAGGAGACGGGGTATTATTGACAGTTCAGACTGGATCATCTGCAGCGTGTGTAGCCGACCGTGCTGATGTAGATTCTCAGTCATCCAGTACGAGATTTTAACAGACATTCGGTCTCAACCTGCAGAACTTTCTCCATTCAAACTGAAACGTGCAGAGCTCAAACAGCAGTCAGATGCACATCTATGCAGATGATCTCACATGCTAATGCAACGGCGTATGTTCTACAGGAGAGGCTTGGACTCCTCGGTGTTTAGCCTGAGTGGAGAACGTTTCCATGAATAAGTGGAAAAAAAGCACTTAATAAAATTCAGTGATTGTAGCTTTCAACCCCCCCCCCCCCCTCACCAGGGGGTGTGTGTGTGTGTGTGTGTGTGTGTGTGTGTGTGTGTGTGTGTTCTATTAGGAACCCGACACGTTCTGTGGCAACATTTTTCTGATGAACACATTCTTTTGTTCCTCGAAGGCCTGCTCGAACCTCTGGGCTCCTGCAGCTCTTCTCTGCTTTTATAGCAGCTCCATTCCTAAAGGATGTTACTCAGATAGGTTAGGAGAAAGACATTCTAAAGTAAAACACCCGGATTTGCCCTTGATGAGTGCATTTATTTAAGATTCTTCTCTCTCTTGCCAGCACAGCGGGGTTAATCCATGCTTTTATTTCAAGTACAATAGATTACTGTAACACCCAGGTCTCTGGTCCACCCAAAAAGAGTATTTCTATCTCACAACTACTCCAGATTTCAGCAGCATGTGTGCTGACCAGGACCAGAGGGTGGGAACATGCTACACCAGTTCTAAAATAGCTGCATTAGCTCCCTGTACATTTCAGGATCGATTTTAATGTTCTTTTATTGGTTTATAATGGTCTTGGACCGTCCTATTTAGTAAGCCTGCTTTTAAATGATGAGCCCCAACGGTTCCTCCTACACTTTCCCATTTTCACTTCCTTTTTCTTAGAGGCTTTGCAAACCACTGACTCCTGGTAGATGCACATCTACAGTAGAAGGAGGAAGAGGGGCTTGGCTCCACAAAATAATGTGATGTAGGCAGCTGGGTAACCCCTGTAGTCTTCATCTTCAATCCCAAATTTGAAGGCAGATAAGACATTTTCTAAGTGGTTATGATTCTAAAGAACAGAATACAAATCCAAGCTTCTTCTCAGTCTTTAGTTCTGGGTGCATCAGAGCACCTAGCTGTTTAATAAAGGCCCATTATTCAAAAATGAACCAGGTCGGTGGATCATGAGATCTATTTTTAAGTAGAACAGAATTAGTGCTGCATTCACTGCAAACATACACACATACTATAAAATAAATGTGATGGTTTTCATATTAAAACCATTACATCTGAAGATAAATAACACCTATGCTAATCTAAAGATATTCTCTAGTAATAAAATGATAAATGACCCACACTAGTATAGCGCCTTTCAGAGTCAGAGGTCTCCAAAGGGCTTTACACTACAGTGCATGATTCATCCATTCACACTGGTGGGGATGAGCTACGATGCAGCCACAGCTGCCCTGGGGGCGCACTGACAAGAGGCGAGGTTTTAGTTTGGTCACATGATCTAAATTCAATTCAATTCAAGTTTATTTATAAAGCGCCAAATCACGACAAGAGTCGTCTCAAGGTGCTTCACATAATAAACATTCCAATACAAGTCAGTTCTTTAAGCCAATCAGAAAAAAGCTTCCTATATAAGGAACCCAGCAGGTTGCAATCCTCATACTAAGCAAGCATGCAGCGACAGTGGAGGGGAAAACTCCCTTTTAACAGGAAGAAACCTCCAGAGGATCCTGGCTCAGTATAAGCAGCCATCCACCATGACTCACTGGGGATGGAGACAGAGCAGACACACACACACACACACACACACACACACACACACACACACACACACACACACACACACACACACACACACACACACGCACACGCACAAAGGATGTGGCAAAATATCATTTGGCGAAAACTCGCAATACAAAACGTGACGAAATGCATCGAGGTAAAAAAATGGACCATGAAATTAGACTAGGCGGCACTGCTGCATGATTTGTGTAGTAGGGCTGGCATACAGTCTATGGTGGTGAGCTGATAGCACCATCTCTGCTGATAAAGCAGGGTAAAACTAAACTAAAAAAATAATTAAAAAAAAACATCCGGGGAACGGTGCAGGGCATCATGACGTCAAGTCACAGCGCATGTTGTAACAACACTGCAGGCTACAGCGAGTGAACAAATATTAGCATTAGCACCAAGTTGGTGCCACCAAGTGCCTTGCCCCGAAACAGCAGAACAATGGAGTCAAATGAGGTCGAAATTGAGGATGCTCCTCCTGGATACAGGTCATCTGTCTGGCAGTATTTTGGCTTTCCGGTTAAAAAAAGACTATGACGGCAATAGAGTAACGGAAAAGACCAAGACTGTGTGTAAGCTATGCTATGCTGTCATTCCGTACACCACCTCCAACACAACAAACATGAACCACCACCTTCAACGTTACCATGAAAATGTGAAGACGGCCTTGGCGAAAACAAGCCTACCGAAAGGAAAGCTGACCATGAAACAAGCACTGACACCAACTCTCCCTCCGTCAAGTCCACGTGCAAAACAGATAACCCGGCTCATTGGTGAGTTCATAGCGGACTACATGGCTTCATTTAACATAGTAGAGAACAGAAAATTCATCCAAATGTTCAAGGTGCTGGAGCCCAAGTTTAAGATGCCATGCCGAGGACATTTTTCAGAGAAGGTAATCCCGGCAATTTACAATGAAACAAAACAAAGCGTGAAAGAGTGTCTAAAAAATGCCGACCGCGTCGCTCTGACCACCGACAGCTGGACCTCGCGTGCAACACAGAGTTATGTCACCATCACGGCACAAGTCATCAACGAAAAATGGGAGAGTAAAAGCTTTGTGTTGCAAACTCGTGAGCTACGTGAAAGTCATACTGGTGTTAACATAGCTCAAGTGTTGAGAAATTCACTGAGTGAGTGGGAGCTAACAAGGCCACACACAACCATTGCTAGTGTCACAGACAACGCGAGCAACATGGACATTGCTGTGAGAGAGCGGTCTCCACCCTCACATCAAGTGCTTGGCGCATGTTGTGAATCTGGCCAGTAAGAGAGGCTTGGCTGTATCCCGCGTTGCGCACCTTCTTGGTCGTGTGCGAAGAATAACTACATTTTTTCACAAGAGCACCACGGCCACCGCAGTCCTGACCAACAAGCGAACCCAGTTGGAACTGCCTCGTCATAAACTCATCACCCATGTCCAGACCAGGTGGAACAGCACGTACGAAATGCTGGCGCGCTACCTGGAGCAGCAAGCAGCTGTCTCAGCAGCGTTGAGCTGCCCAGAAATCCGAAGGAATGCGAGAGAAATCGACGCTCTGGATCACACTGATATATCAGATGTAGAAGACATAGTGAAACTGCTTAAGCCACTGAAGACAGCCACAACTGTTGTCTGTGATGAAAAAGAGCCCACTGTTTCACTGATAATGCCACTGAAGCACATGATCGAGCAAAGCATGTCACCAAACCAAAATGACACACAGACCATCGCCAACATGAAAAGCACCATCCTACTCGACATCTCGGACCGATGCACCGGGGACTAATGACATGCTGCAGGAGTGCACAGCGCTTGACCCACGATTCAGAAACCTGTCCCATCTGAAGGATGAACAACGTGAGTCCATCTATGCCCGAATATGTGAAAAAGCTTCAGCACTTCATGAGCAGCGCAACCAGGTAGGCTAACTTTTACTGAAAAAGAGGTTTCCTGCTACATGTGTGTAATCCTGTATGTGTGTAGCAGGCCAGAGTCTGAAAACTTATTTCTCATGTTTTTTTATTAGTCGATCAGAGAGAGAGTGAATGAGAGTGAAGGACAGAAGTGTTTAACTAGTTTTTCTATTTTATTTATTTTCAGACCAGTTACACTGATGACAGAACCACTAGGGCCAGTGCTTCAACATCAGAGGCAGCAGCAGAGCAGGCCAGGGTCATGGTTGAGGCAGCACAGGGAGCAGAACAGAGCCAGGAAGAGCCAGTAGAAGGAGAAAGGCAGATGCAGGATGCAACACAGCCTCCCCCACCAAAGAAGACAGCGTTGGAAGATCTCCTTGGGAGCTCCTACACTACTGTTGAGACAGTGCAGACCAGCAGAGGGATTGAAATGGAGATACTCTCCTACAGGAGTGGGATGGGAATCCCACTCAACAGAAGTGCACTTGAGTGGTGGAAAGTTAATGCTTATGCTTACCCCATACTTGCCCCCCTTGCCAAAGCCTACCTTTGCATTCCTGCTACATCAGTGCCCAGTGAGCGTGTCTTTTCCACGGCAGGAGACATTGTGTCTGCTCAAAGATCACTGATTACACCAGAACATGTTGATATGTTAGTTTTTTGAAGAAGAACCAGTCCTGAGATAAGTTAACCACGGCTTAAAGCAGCACTAAGGGTGTTCCTGTTTGTGTTTGGCCTGTTAGGCCTTGTGTTTCCTTGTGAGCTACTGGAAAAAAAATAAACAAGTTGTTATTATACAGTAATATTTTTTTCCTTTTTTTTCTTATTTGATATCGTTTCGTAACTCAAGACATATCAAGGTGCATCGTATCGTGAGTTTAAGTAGATCGTCCCATTCCTAGCACACACACACACACACACACACACACACACAACGAATGTGGGATCAGCCATCTCTGATAACACATCTGTGATACTGATAAGGGCTTTATGCAGCTTTTGTGTTCAGCATATCGCACGTGGGAAAGAGGAAACATATTTACATCATGAACAAAGCCAGCACACTTTCAAACAAAAGCCAGTAACCCTACTTTGGATAAAACAACAACAAAAGCAAGCACAACATGCAAAAAGAGTCTATATGAAGGACTCCGTGTCAGTGGAACAACGATATCTTTGTTTTCTAATGAGATGCAGCGTGCAGCTGTTCACCTGAGCAGCTGCGGGTTGACAAAGGTGATGACATCCTGCAGGAGCTTGAAGGCAGAGCCGATCAGGAAGTAGGGGCCGAAGGCTTTGATGAGGGCGTGCAGAAAGGACGGCTGGTGGGGAGCAGCTTTCTGATTGGACAGCAGCACCTCCACTTCCTCCGGGCTGTTTTCAGTCGGACCTCCTGCGGTGTGGTTGGTGGTGGAAGGTGGGGGCTTGGCGTAAGTGGCCTGGCTGGACTGGATCGCCTCGCTGTGGATTCAACAAAGTGGGGAAATAAACCTTGTAAGGAAGCAGAAATGATTTTCATCAAACACTGACAACATTTAAGAGAAAATCTAAAACAACCAATACACACATCATTTCATCATCAAACCATTTGTAATGATTATTATTATCAGGTGCTGTTGATGTTTCCACTTGTTTTGAAGACAAGCCGATGTTTCCTCATGCCTTCTCCCCCTGGCCTTCTGAAGACTCGCGTGAGTGGAGTGGTGACGTAAAAACGTCAGAACGACACATGTATAAAACACACAGGTGCCATAAGACTTGATTATTTCAACAGGACCTCCCAATGCTCTGTGGCATAATGTCCAATAATACTTTTCTTCTAACTCTATGAATCTATCCGTCCGTCCATCCATCCATTTTCAGCCGCTTATCCGGAGTCGGGTTGCGGGGGCAGTAGCCTAAGCCCAGACGCCCAGACTTCCCTCTCCCCAGCTACTTGGGCCAGCTCTTCTGGGGGAATCCCAAGGTGTTCCCTGGCCAGCCAACAGACATAGTCCCTCCAGCTTGTCCTGGGTCTTCCCTTGGGTCTCCTTCCACTTGGACATGCCCAGAAAACCTCACCAGGGAGGCATCCAGGAGGTATCCTAATCAGATGACCGAGCCACCTCAACTGGCTCCTCTTGATGCGGAGGAGCAGCGGATCTACTACGAGCCCCTCCCAGATGACTGAGCTTCTTACCCTAACGCTAAGGGAGAGCACAGCCACTCTGTGGAGAAAACTCATTTCGGCCGCTTGTATCCGCGATCTCGTTCTTTCGGTCACTACCCAAAGCTCATGACCATAGGTGAGGGAAGGAACGTAGATCGACCGGTAAATCGAGAGCTTCGCCTTCCGGCTCATCTCTCTCTTCACCACGACAGACCGGTACAACGCTCGCATCACTGCAGATGAAGAACCTATCCGCCTATCGATCTCATGTTGCATTTTTCCCTCACTCGTGAACAAGACCCTGACACACTTAATCTCCTCCACTTGAGGCAGGACCTCATCCCTGACCCGGAGAAGGCATCCAAGAATCTAAGCTCTCATAAAACATTTTTAACTGACTGTCTGTTTGGACCTCCAGGCTCCTGTAGCAGCCCTTCTCTTCTTTTATAGGAGCTCAGTCAGCCCATTTTCTCTCCATGCAACTGACCAAACAGGTTGATGACTTGAATAAGTTTGAATGTTACAGAAAACCTGTTTAATACATAAATTGTATATGATATTCTACAAAATTATATAAGCATGCATATTTATAAAGCTGCACTCGCAAATAAATGTGAACTTTAAATGTTTCCCACCTCACTACGTACCAGTGTTTATTTTGAAAAGACTTGGTTTTAGTCTTGTGACTAAACGTTTTTGAATTTTAGTCACAATTTGTTTACATTTTAGTCTGATTTTAGTCGACTAAAATACATGTATTTTTCTTCTGAGGCAGTCATTTTAAATGTTTATAAAGGAAATGTTAACTACGGCTACTTGAAACTGTGAAGAAATATGAAAAATTTTGTCTTTAAAAGAAGCACAAATTGAAGTTTGCGTTTTGTTTTTGTTCGCAAAAATTTATTCGTCCAAAAAAAAAAGAAAAAGGAAATACTTAATTAACTACATTAACACTGCTAACTACTTACGTCTGTTTGAAACATTTTTCTTAAAGGGACTTTACGGAGTTTTGAATTTTTATGCTCGTGATTGCCCCCTCAGGCCAGAAGCGTAACGGCAGCTTCAATAGTAGGCTCGTGCACAAGGCGCGCATGCTGTACGTGCACACTCCTTAACGAAAATACCAGCTGAGACAGCCCCTTGTGTGTGTGTGTGTGTGTGTGTGTGGGGGGGGGGGGGACAGAGGCCAGGAGAACGTGCAGCTAATTAATTAAATAATTTGGTTCTGTACCTTTCTCTTCAGCACAGCTGACAAAGTGAAAAGTTGAACCCACATCTTTTGTATCTGTGAATTCAATGCCGTTCGGCGAGTCTCAAATAAAAAATTGGGCATCTTACTGTAAAAAAATATACCATTAATGTAAAAGATACTCTTAACTCATTCACTGCCATTGACGACTAAAGTCGTCATTTGCATTTTTTTACTGTTTGAGCATCGGTACGAGCCCCCGCGCTGAGAAAACAAACAACTCAGCCCTGAAGCCGATCTTCATCCGCATACGTCACAGATCACATGATCAGGAAGCAACACATTCATGTGTTAGGAGATTGTTTTGGGCCTTTCCTATAAAAAAAAAGTGAGGCGCGAACCGGATAAGCATCTGCCGATCACAATTCGACAACGGATTATGAAAGAACGTATAACGCTAAAAACACGGGGCTTCTTCCTGATGTAAGAGGTGAGTCTCCTCTTTGTTTTGGTTGTTTTGGCATCGACATCATGCTAGCGCGCAACGTTCTGTGACTCTTAAAAAAACAGTAAAAACGGTGAGAAACGCTGGCAGCGGAGGCCGTTAGTGATTAGGAAACGGCTGGCAGTGAATGAGTTAATAAACTATGTTGACGTACAGAATCAAACCCGGTTCTCCTGCACGAGAGTCCAACGTCTTACTAGGTGAGCTAAAGCGCCAATGATGTCCTATGTATCTGTAACATTTATGTCCTTGATAACAGCTGAAACAACATTCAAAGAACGGTTCGGAGTGAAAATGGCTATTTTATTGCTTATTTGCAGGAAATATCTAGAAGAAAGTTTTACAGAAAGTAGCTAAGGGTCCTCAGAAATGTAGCTAGCTTTGTCACTAGGCGTTAGGAACAGCGACAAAGTGGCACTGCCTCTCTCTCTGCTGCTAAAGCTACGGATAGCAAACGCTACGGGCTATGCCTGAGCGTGAACGCGCATGAAGCAGCCTGCTCGACCCGAGCATCTCTCTTTTTCTGTGATTTTACAGAAAAACAGGCAATCACAGTAAAAATGCCAGGGCTCATTCTACAGGACCAGGGCATTGCAGGAGAATGTATGAAGAAGACATTTATTATTTCTATACATGTTTTGGCTGTCACACTTCCATAATGCCCCTTTAATAGTTGAGATTGTGCCTTCACTTCTGTTTCTTTAAAATAGCTCCATTCTCCATTAAGTTCATGTCAGGACTCGATAAGCTACAGGGCCAAAAATTTGCTCTACCAAGTAGCTGGCCTGGCAGTTAAAGGGTTAAATATTTTTTAAAAATCCCTAATTGTTTTAGCCCAGATTCGTAGCATGTAAAAACATTCCTCAGTTATTGATGCCTCAGGCCGAGGTGGAGCTTGTCACCAACAAGAAGATCACAAGACAGAAGCAAAAGTTTATCAGATGGGTTGCGTTCTGACTCCACGTTGACCCATTTCTTTTACCAGAAATGACTGTTAAATCACCACAGGAAATGACTCGACTTTTCCGCTGAATCTTCTTAGGCAACAGCGTGAAATCTCCTTCAGCACAAACTGAAAGTACTCCACTTCAGTTCCAGGGATTTGAGTTTTGCAAGAGTTAACACAACAAACACAATGACAGCTCCTCTCCAGACCAAACAGGTTTCCCTAGCCCAGCTGAGTGGGCAGAGCAGAGCATGCCTAGATCGGTTTACAGGTGCTTTCAGTGCAGAAGGAGAGTGAACCCAGCAGGAAGGCTGCAGCATTGACAGGAAACAGCCTGACGGAAGCCAGGGTTCAGAAAAACTTGCCAGGCATGTTTTTATGTTTTCCCTACAGCTCTCTTCCGTGCTCAACAATTTAGCCATCAGAAAAGTTGTTCATTCTGCGGAGACAGAAAAGACATAAAACACAAGAGCAGCATTGGCTTGATTTACTTTGACTTGTCTGTGCTCTTTTAATGAGACGTGCTACGCAGCCAGCAGAGGAAGCAGCTTCACACATGAGGTACTTATCCTGCTGTGAGGGTTACATAAACCATGCTCGCATATGATTACGTACAAGCGTGACGCGTCAACCCGGTCTCACAGTAAGACTGGGTTGGAACTGTTCAGGTTAACGCAGACAATCTTTACATAGAATTGACCTACAGAAATAAAATTAATTCAGTAAAATATAAAGCATTTTATTTAAATATCCATTCATTATTTTACAAGCACAGAGAACCGCATAAGATGGATGGAAGAGCCGCGGGTTGTGACATGTTTTCTCCAGGACCAGAGAGGACACAAACTCAATACATCTCTTTTATTGTGAGGTAGTAATTTCTCCGAGTTTTACGGGTGCGGGCGGGAGTGTAACACACACGTTGCAGTTGCAGGCGGTAATGGTCAGAAATTCAGCGGGAGCAGGCAGGAGCGGGATGAAGAAAACAGTCCTGCGCAGGGCTCTACTGCTGCGTTTCAGTCAGGGGTCGGCAACCCGCGGCTCTGGAGCCACATGCGGCTCTTCCATCCATCTGATGCGGCTCTCTGTGCTTGTAAAATAATGAATGGATATTTAAATAAAATGCTTTATATTTTACTGCATTAATTTTACATCTGTATGCCAATTCTAAATGTAAAGATTGTCTGCGTAAACCTGAACAGTTCCAACCCAGTCTTACTGTGAGACCGGGTTGACACGTCACGCTTGTGCATAATCATAGGCGCATTCTGAGCTGAAGAGGATGTGAGATTCTGGGCTTCTCCTCAAAGCTCCTGGATGTGTCGCCACATTGGAGACAGGAACAAGCACAAATCAGCCAAAGTTTCATCATCAGGGAACATTTTCTAAGTGACAAGTCTCTCTGAGAGACAGGGTTTGGAAAACACTCGCTTCAGTGGGAGGAATCTTCCCGCATGCATGCTGGTTCTGCGATGCGCTCCAAGCCCCTCTCCACATCTTCAGCTCGCTGCGTATCTTATGTAGTACACGCTGACAGTGAGCTGCGCTGAGCAGTGTCCAGCTCAGATGTTCAGATGGTAATCTTTTCTTGAGTGATTTAGTGTTTCAATTTTTTTAATGAATTCGATTAAAAATAAAGGCGCCTGGCCCGGCCCGTGTCCGAGTTGATTACACAGTCATTGGCCCGAAGCCCGGCCCGAGGGCCTAGGGCTGGGCCGACCCGAGGGCCTAGGGCTTCAGTGCAGGGCTCTAGTTCACACGGCAAGGTACTTATGACAGAAGCACGTAGCACGGAAAAATGGGATTCCAAATCCTCCTCCTTGCTACTAGCTGAAACGATTCCTCGAGTACCTCGAATAATTCGAGTACATAAAAGCCTCGAGTCAAATTCTCTGCCTCGAGGCTTAGTTTAATTCATGTTTGATTAATTCATGGCTTTGCAATCGCCCGGGGTCATGTTTCACCCTGACCGAAATAAGTGACGCACATACACACTGCACTGAATGCACACGCGAGTAGCGATAACTTAACTTTCTCTTAAGCCATGGCGGACAATGTGGACCCCGATGGAGTGCAAAAAAGACAGAAAATAACAAAGGTGTGGGAGCATTTTTCACGTCGTATGGTGGAAAACGTAGTCCAGTGTAAATACTGTAAAATGGATTTAGCCTACCACAACACCACATCCTCCATGCTGCAGCACCTGACCAGGAAACATCCACATGTAAATGTCACTTCTGCAGGCAGACTCGGAAGTCTGCTATATATTCTGCAGACACTATGCGACTTTTTCGTTTGTAGCACTCAGTTTGAGCTCACACTGTCGTCTGGTAGCAACACGTCGGACCTAAACATGTGCTAAAAATAGCAGTTTTTACACAACACGTCGGACTTTTTACTGTGCTGTTATTGATGTCTGTTCCTCGGGATTGCTGCAGGAGGACACAGATATTTATGAGAGTGGCGGAGGAAAACAAAAGAAAGTAAATAAATGTTTTGTGATCAGTATAATTTAACATAACCACGGCAAACATGCTTTCTCGACAATCCTTGTTATTGTGTGAGAAAATAAAGTGTAGAAATTAAAACGGACGTGTGTTAATAGGGAAACAGCTGGCGAGCCATGTTTGCGCATGCACCGTGACCGGTTCCGGTGCTAGTAGATTCTCGCGCGAGACGAAAATCGGCTCAGGTTGTATACTTATTTTTGCACAGACATTTGTTTACTGTGAAGTAAAGTTGAAGTTTTGAAATCTAATTTTGAACAAAACTTGAAGAATAACTGGCAATTGCTTGCTAATTTTAAGAGGTCTTTCACATTTTATAACGTGCTATTTGATATAATGGTTTACAAACACAAAAGGGTCATTTATTAAAGTACTCGATTAATCAATAAAAGATTTGATAAGAGTACTCGATTACAAAAATATTCGATAGCTGCAGCCCTACTTGCTACGTTTGTTTACTCCGAAATAGGACTAGGCGGTAAACCAAAAAGGTACTGTTACTGAAATGACTGACTCGTACCAATGTCATTTTGCCCATGCCAGTATGTCCGGTATTTAAAAGATGAAAAGATCTGAGTAGGTTACTGATGTCCATGTCCCTTTAAGAAGATAGGATCAGGTTCTATTTTTGCCACGAGCCGCTTCTGGGACACGTCAATTTCTGCAGTTAACAAAGGACTAGACAGGAAATCACAGTTTCCGTGTAAAATCCCCTGTAATTTTCTAAATAAAAGTACTGCAGGGATACAATTTCATAGAGCAAGCATCCCGGCTCCAAAGCCGATCTTCATCCGCGTATGTCACACGTCACGTGATCAGGAAGCAGAACATCCATCTGTTAGGAGATCGTTTTGGGCGGATGCTGTAAAAAAGTGAACTGCGAACCGGAAAAGCTTCTGCCGATCACAATTCGGCAACAAATTCTGAAAGAACGGATAACGCTTGAAACGCACAGATTCTTCCTGATGTAAGAGGTGAGTCTACTCTTTGTTTTGGCGTTGACATCATCATAGAGCGCAATGTTCTGTGACTCTTAAAAAAACGTGAAAACGCTGAAAAACACTGGCAGCGAAGGGCTTTTCTGATCAGGAAACGGCTGGCAGTGAATGAGTTAAGTATGGCATAACAGCTTATCTGGCTCTCAGAGAGTACAGGCGCTTTTGCTTCTGCTCCCTTACCTGCTTCTCCCAAGGCTCTCTGTCCTGTCTGCCTACAGAGCACTTCTCTGCATTTCTCCTGAAAATCACTACTTCTGTTTGGAAAATGGACTTAATTAACTGGTCATTCAACGCGATTGATAAGATTTTTTCTACGAAGAGAACGGAGAAGGGGGCTCCCACCTGTCCTCAAGGGACATACGCAGCGGGATATGCACTCGATTCTTGGGAGGTCTGGCGAATCGTGTGCCTCTCTCAGTTGTCCATTGAGGACGTGGAAGACTTGTGGATATTCGGCCTGATGATCACTGGATTTCTTCTGATTGGAGTGGGAGGATATCTGGTTTTCTGGAAATTTGGGAAGATGGGAGCGATTGGAGTGCGACCCGTACCCACGGAATGTGCCGCCCGTGCGGTGACCTCACAGACTGGGACGTTACTCGACGTGAACCGTAAGCTGGACAATGTCCTCGCGGCGTTGCCTGTGTTAGTGCGCAAGATGGATGTCATCTCGGAGAGGGTCGCTGGACGGTGTGGGGATGTTTAGAACGTATAATTGGCTTCACTGGTGGACATGAATGATCACTTAATAGACTCCAAGGCAGAGAGGAAAATTATCTCTGTCTGCCCTAAACAAAGTCTTGTTTATCCTTATCTGACGCCAAGGCAGCCTCCAAAGCTGCCATCAATATCACCCCCACGAAAGGAGGAATGTAGACAGATGCTGTGACCCGACCTTCCCCCCCTGCCTTCAGATGGTGACGTCTGCTTCGAGGTCATCAACCTGCAGGAACTCAATGTGCTCTCTGGCCCTCGTCTCTCCTTCCCACCTGTTTGACTGCAGCTGTGAGCGCCGTACACTGGCAGCTCCCGTTGGAGGATTCAGGACCCTCCCCGCCTCCCTATCGGAGTCTGATGTTTTGTAACTGTGATGTTCAAGCTTCTACGTTGAGGAGTTTTTTGTATAGTAAGAGCTACTCCCTGCTGGGACTAACTCTGGTATGCCTTTTTTACCTTACCCCAATTATCCTCATGTAACACCCTTTTCATCTAATGAAATGAGCGCCGTTCTGGCTGCTCTCGTGGACTGCCTGTACCAGTTTTGTCTACATGTGTGTGTGTTTAACCTTGGTCAGGTTGTGTTTGCGGAGTCAAGTTCCTATGCTCTGGGTCGCTGGAGCGATGGCAATAAAGCTTATTCTGATTCTGATTTACTCTCAGCATTGTTTCAGAAGTGCAGCGGTGTGTTTTTCATGACTTTGATCCTGGCAGTGGAGAGGAACATCATATATGGCACCAAACAGCGATATCAAACGTGATTTCCTTCTTTTTGGTTTAATGGCGGATTGCATAAACAAACCGTGACCTGAAGCCTCGAGGGATCGTGTGATCTCACGAGTCCAGCGAAGAGCACAGCGAGGAAGTTGTGCCGCAGCCAAGACTCTCCCGGTGTGAAAAGGACCACTTTGAAGTTTGCGAGTAAACCAGTCCGCTGCCGTTTCGCGGTGCCGATGCTTCCAGTGTGAAACCGAGGTAACGGTCTACTCTGGGAATGTTTGTGTGTAAAATCGTTGTGTGTGTGTGTGTGTGTGTGTGTGTGTGTGTGTGTGTGTGTGTGTGTGGTATCTTTGCTATTTGGCTGGACACCACACACTGTAGGACCAAAGCTGTACAGCTGTGATTTTTTTAACACTGACTATGTGCTCGCTCACTTTTTGAAAATCGTCCGACAATTTTAAAACTTTGCCATGTGAACCGGACCCAAGAGCCTTTGGTTGGGAGAACACATCTGATCCAGAACCGTATTTCTTGAAGATCAGATGTCCCACACAAAGATGGAGAAAGCTATGAAGCCCAGATTTTCCACAAAAATGGAGAAGCAAGACAGTTTTCATAAATCAGAGTTTCTAAACTAGCTGACTTTGTCACATAGAGTGTGGTTAACCACCAACACACAGCTGCATATCAGTGTAATTACTGAATGTTGAGTCTTTTAAAGTTTCTGAGTTAAAGCAGACTCAACCTGTTCTTATCACACACTATTGTTGACTTTATTCAAAAGGATGCATGGAAAAACTAAATTATTTCACCCATTCTCACACTCGTACCTCCTGGCCTTGGCCTGCTCCTTGTCCCACTCTTTGAGGAGTCTAGGCACCATCACCTTGGAGCTGTCACGCTGGTTCAGAGACCACAGATCTTTGGCTTCCAGGGGCATTTTGTATCCCTTTATGGCCAAACTGAGAGAAAAAAACAAAACAAAAACATAATGTAATTTTACTTTAACGTGTATACAAAAGAAACGACCAGCTTTTTAGTGTGGGCTCACTGAATAAAATAAAGGATGACTCTAGAATTAAACCCTTTAACTCAGACTCTAAACATTTGAATATACCCACTGAATCTGGGAAACTGCCAGTCTTTATTATGCATCTCTGGACAGGACTTCACTGGAAACTGGTTTGATGTGTTTTTCACACAAAGCAGGAAGAGGAGATTAAAACTAACCAAATAAACTGGTTCTAAAAAGGTTCTTTATTTTAGTTGCAATAAAAAAAATACGGAACTGGTCTGAGTGGAGCTGCTCCAGCCACCTCAGGCTGCTGCTGTAACCTGACACCAAAACTATCACCTTCAGTGTGGCTTCATACTACAGCACAAGCTGTGAACACAGATGGAAAAGGATCCGTCGCTCCTCTCAGAACCGTGAGAGGAGGGCTTGATCAGTGTCCAATTCATGGATTGGGGGGGGGGGGGGGGGGGGGGGGGGGGGGGGGTCTTAAAGAACCTAATATTGGGGAGTTTCTCCACCACATTTTCAGAGTTGGTCATCTCCCCTTCTGCACACAGGGGTACAATATTCATAGGCCATGGGCCATCTCTCTCACCTACATGTGGGACACTGAACCTGTGGTCTGATTGATGCCAACAGAAACATGGCGTTTAATCAGGCTTTTCCAATTAGTAACAGATATTTTTAAATTGTGAAAAGGAAGTTATTGTAGAGGGAGCTGAAACCCAGAGAACTAGGAGTGCAGTGGGAGGAGATGGTTCTGTTCTCTGAGTCAGGCAGCAGTAGAGAGGAACTCTGTTCTGTTCACCAAAAGACAACTGGACACCTATAGGTTGTCCAAATTAGTTACAAAAATGTTCAGTCAACACTCTGTCAGCACTAAAACACTAACATACGTTTTCTGTATTTATAAAGACACTGTTGTTAAAGGTTATTTTACTAACTTTTATTCTGAAATATTTATGGTTTTAGTACATTTGGAATACTAGGGTTTGTATTGATGTTCTGTTCTGCTACAATTACGTTTATCTGATCTTCGTTAACGTTGTCCTTGTGAAATAAACCAAGAAACTAACATGAAACAATTCCAAATATTGAGCTTTACTATTGAGGTGTAAAATAAGTTCCAATGGCTGTTAAATAAATGTATACAAAATCTTTCTTATTCAGGCCCTTTGTAGTCCACCCTGAACTTCATCCAGATGCAGACTGATGGAGCTCATCATCAGCGCTTTGAGGGCTTGTGTTTGTCCTCCTGCCTCAGGAGGATGGACCACAAGTTCTCACTGGACCTGAACCAAAGTTGTTTGGTTCCTAACCCACTTAGTTCTGATTTTAACCTTCTGGCCCAGTGTGCCATCATGCTGGAGAAGACATATTGTTCATCACCAAACTGTTGCTGGAGTTCCTCAGGGAGGATGTTTAAGTACCATTTTTTATTCATGGCTGAGGCTTAGCGATGGGTACCAAATTCTGTACTTTTTAAGGTACCGACTGAATTCCATTGTACAGACTAAGCACCGATTCACGTCATTTGAAACGGTGCCTCGTTTCGGTACCCGTCCTCCATAACGAGAACTTGCCTAGACAGCTGCGCATGCGCAAGAGCGTTATGTCGTCGGTCGCTGCGAGCGAGTTGTGAACAGAGCAGCATGGTAGAAAGAACGCACGCTAAAGCTTGGGTCCACTTCACTAAACGTGATGGGTAACTGGGTGATGATGAAACCAGCGACAACAATCTAAGTGAGACATCCTCATCTTAATCTGCTCCGGTAGGTAAATAAAATGTTTAAGATAACGTTAGCTTGATTTGTTAGCTTCCGTTCCGCTTCCGGTTTCTCCTCGGAACTCCAAATTTCCGACTGGAAGAACATGAACGCGCTCTAAAGTTTGGCTTCACTTTACTAAATGCGACGGGTGATTGGGTGAAGATGAAACCAGCGACAACGATCTAAGTGTAAGGCATCATCGTTTTAATCTGCTCCAGCAGCTAAATAAACTGTTTAAGATAAAGTTAGCTTGATAAGTTAGCTTCCATTGCCACCATTGTTATCATCTGATGGTGTGTTCGCTTTCTCCTCGGAAATTCAACTTCACAGTAGGAAAAATCAAATGAAAAGGACGGCAAAAGGAATGAAGATACACAGTAAATTTAGTTCACAGTAAAGATGTTTGCATCAGTTTAATTATCAGCTTATAAAACTACAAGGACAATGTTAAAATACAAACAGTTGTACTGTATGTTATTTATCGTGATTTTTATCAAATATTGTTATGTATTGAGAAAATATATATATTTTATTATAAAAGAGAATTAAAATATTAAACACTCAAAAAAGTATCTAAAATTGGTACCGTTAAGTACCGGTATCGATTCCTAGGTACCGGGAATTAGTACCGAATCGATTCAAATGTCAAAGGTACCCATCCCTACTGAGGCTAAACTGTAAGTGGCTGTGGTTGATCTCAGTAAAAAGAACTGAAATATAAAAAGAACAGCAAAATGGAAGTCAGGTGTAGTCCCTGAGGAATTTCAGCCCACCTTGTGAACCACCAGAAAGTCACGGTGGAAAGAAAACCTGCTGTGGTTTCAGGACATGGATTCTGAAAAGAAATAAGAAAAGAATGAAGTTAGTAAAAAGCTGAGCAGCCATCAACGGCTGAATTCTTTGGGCATGAAGGAACCTGAGAGTGCACTCAGTCCTTCAGCTGCTCACAGAGCGAAACATGTTGTCTCAGTGTGGTCAGGGTTAGGGTTAGCATACAAACATACTTCATGAGCTGTGAGAAAATGTTATCAGTGTGCAGGACTCACTGGGTCAGTGACAACGTCACAGTAAAGAGGAGGTTTCTCGTTAAAGCAGCAGAGGATCAGCTCAAAGACCAACAGGCCAAAGTAGAAGTAGAAGGTGATGAATCGCAGCTTGTCTGGAACTTCGCTCTGAAACAAAAGGAAGTTGGTTCAGATGCTGCAAGCAGCACCAAACAAGCAGAGTATTTCCTGGGATGAAGGTTATTTTTAATGACAAATGAAACGCAACTGTATTCATCCATTCACACACTGGTGGTGATGAGCTACATCATAATCAGAGAGGAGAGGCTGTGGAACCCAGGCACAATCTGTCTCTCCGAGAACCACCAGCAGGAAAGGAGGGTGAAGGGTCTGGCCCAAGGATAACGACTCACACTAACAAAGACTGGGTTCGAACCAGCAACCCGCTGGTTACCCACTGTCCTGATTTCATGGTAAAGGTATCTGACATGCAGCCAATAACAATCATTCTTAATAAATTAGTGGAAGCAGATCCATTTATTACAGTCATTTTAACACAAGCTCGAGTTTTTTTTTCCACTAAAGCAAATAAATAAGCCATTTAGTATGGGGAGAAAAAAGTCTCAAAAGGTCTGTGTGTGTGTGTATCTAGATTTGTACATGTGTATCTAAATTTGTGTGTGTGTAACTAAAGATTTGTAACTTGTGTTTACATTTCTGTGTGTAACTTCAGCTCCTACACATACAAATCATTGAATACACACACACCCACACCCACACACACACATTCACAAATCACCTGGTAAACACGGACAAAACTAGACTACAAGGGAGGTCCACTGCTTCCTCCCCAATGGTCTCATTCCGTCGAAACCTCCGCAATCTGGCACCCAACCACTTCTCCTCTCTTGTTGCCTCCACTCTTCCATCTCCCAGCACATTCTCTGCTTATGAAGTGAATGAAGCCACCGAGTCACTCTGCTCCACACTCTGCTCTTGTCTTAACAACTTGTGCTCTTTAGCCACTAGACCTGCTAGATCCTCTCAGTCGCACCCTTGGCTAAATGATACCCTCCGGTTTCTACACACCAGTCTAAGAGCTGTGGAACGGAAATGGCGCAAAACAAAAGATCCTGGTGATCAATTGAAATTTCATGAATTACTGTCCTCATTCTCTGCCAGCATCACTGAAGCAAAGAAAGCTGACAAAATTAAAAATTGCTCAATAATACCCACAATTGAAGGCTTTCTCTCAAACCAGCTCATCTCTCCTAAATTTACTTTTTTCAATTAACCTTTCAATCATGGTCAGTCACCAATCGTATTGTCATTTCAGGAATAATTTACATGCAAATTTTCCTTATTGTGACATCACAATAGGGACGGCAGGGGCTAGTCTTTGTGAAGTGCCTTGAGACGACTCTGGTCATGATTTGGTGCCATATAAACAAACACAAATTTAAAATGAATTGAATAGTCACACCAGTATCATTTTAAGCAGAATTTGTAGAGTTAGCAGGAGCGTCTAACTCCGGCTAGCTTCTTCTTCTCCGTCTCCGATGTCTCTGTGACATTAAGCAGCCATGACATGTATTCTAATTTGTTACGTCAATCGTGTGCTAACAAAACTTACAGCAAAGTTGTTCTCAGTTTTGCAAGTTTTAATTTTTGGGGATGTTTGTGTTTCAGCAAGCCTTTTATTCATGGCAGATCTGGGGGCCAGCATTGGTCAAAATGCCTCAGAATCTACCATTAATCTTTTCTTACCCACTGATATGAGTGAATACTGTTGAGATTCCAGCTGTGTTTGCCTTCACAACTTTAATAACCCAATGCCATGTGACCCTCGTGAGCGGAACGGACATGTATACATTTTACCAATACTGTTGTGAATGAGGTCACATGTTACAAAAAGGGAAACTTTCAAACATCTCATAGGAGAAGATGATTCCTGAAACCAAACACTAACAGAAAATGGACTGATAGTTTTATTTATATTTAGAGTGTTTACTAAGGCACTAGATGTTATATCCTCTTTAAAGCCTGTTTCAGTCAGTCTTTCTTTAACTTAAAAGCATCATATAACAACTTTTTTACATTAAGAAACGTTTCTGTGACTCTCTATAAAGCATATGAAACTCAAAATGGCCCAGAAGCCCTGAAATTGCTAATCATAAACCCATAATAAAACTCGAAGGAAGTGTGTAGCCGTACTGTTGGACTGTACTGCCAGCTATGAATCTGGCATTTATTAAAAGTTCCCATTACATCCTGGAATGTGAGTGGTGCTTCAGCATTCTTCTTTTTATTTTTCCTCGGCCAATAAGGGCATTAGCAATAGCATGGCCTAGCATTGTTGTGCGGATAGCATTACCGCGACGAACGTTTACTTGTTGCTGATGCTGAAGTTTGTTGGAACGTGCAGATTTAGGGTGGTGTGTCAAAACTAATGGCACGGTAAACCACCTTTACTCAGAACCAAATATATTTCTGCAGTGATTACAGGCGGCTCTGACATTTTGGTACATTTGACTGTAGTGTCAAATGTACCAAACTGCCTACATTCAACAACAACAAGGCACACTGATATAGCGCCTTCTAGAGTCCTGGGACCCCCAAGATGCTTTACAACACAATCAGTCATTCACCCATTCACACACACTTTCACACCCTCGTGGTGGTGGTGAGCTACAACTTAGCCACAGATGCCCTGGGGCGCACTGACAGAGGTGAGTCTGTCGTACACAGGTGCCACCGGTCCCTCTGAACACCACCAGGAAGCAAGGGAGGTTAAGTGTCTTGCCCAAGGACACAACGACAGCAACAATCCGAGCAGGGCTTGAACCCTTATGGCGCTTAACTCCTGTGCCACCGTCGCCTCGTGTGGTTTTGAATTCTAAGATGCCTTTAAATGTCATTCTTGATACAATAAACAGCGATACACTGCTCATATTTTCTGTGTAAAAATAAAAACCTGTGAATGAGTTAGAGGTAAGCATTCCTGCTCATAACAATACTTGTGCAGCTTTTCTTTACTAGGTCAACAATGGCTGACACTTAGCACAAGGAGTACTGTAATTCAAGCAGATTAAAGTGCTACAGTTCTGAAAGCCAGAAGTCTGACAACTTACCTGCGTCAGAGAAGTTTATGTATGAAGTAATTGACATGAAAATATTCCAGTCAATTTGGCCCAAAAAGCTTTTTTTATTAAATCTCTCCAGCTCAAGAACATGTTTTTTTGCAGCCAGAAAGGGTTGCTGTTTTTGCTGCAGCACTGCACACTGGTAAGTACATTAGGAACACGAAGCCAACTATTCCCTCTCTGCCCTGTGCTTAGGGACGACCTAAGCTGAACCCTCTGAAACATTTAACTTCAAGGCAATTCCTACAATACAGGAAGCACAGCAGTCACTGATGGAGGATCCTACACAGTGAATGGAGGTTAAAAAAAAAGGGCTGACTTTAGGCAATGATGAAATCAGGTGAGCATGATGCGTTCTCACCTGATTGGAGGCCTTTAGGATCTTGGAGCGGAAAGGCACAATGGCACACACCACAGACAGGAACCAGAAGATGAAGAGAACCCCTGAGGACTGAACCCCATGTAACCTCTCATACTGTATCAGAAACGTGGCCAACAGCTGAGAAGAGGGAGGGAGAGACAGAATTAGATTATCCAGGCCAGAATGACGGAGGTCATGCCAGGTGAATGGCACTCTGACAGGGTCAGCCTTTCATTGCAACCTGTCCTCTATCAAACACGAGGTTTCATTCGCTAATCCACACGGTCTTTGGATTTGCTGTCACCCAGAATTACTCGTTTTGAGAAAAACTGCTTTTCTGAATGTTCTGCACACACACACACACACACACACACACACACACACACACACACACACACACACACACACACACACACACACACTCAGTGATATTTACCTATTTAACATTGGATTTAATGATCTCTACACAAAAAGCACAAGCAGAAACTATCTTCATCTCTCTGTATTCAAAAGTCTTTTGGCTGTAGCAGGCCATCTTGCACATCTCGCCCAACATAAATCAATTGTAGACATTCATCCAATTAAAACTTTGTGGGTGTCATTAAAACCCACCCTGTAGTTCATGCAGTATTTCTGCTGATACACACACAGAGGCAAAAATGGTAAATGGTCTGTATTTGTAGAGCACCTTCTTAGGTTTCTACAACCTCTCAAGGTGCTTCACAACACAATCAGTCATTCACTCATTCACACACACACATTCACAGGCTGGTGGGGATGAGTTACAATGCCCTGGGATGCACTGACAGAGGCAAGGCCTCAAAAAAATGATTGACCATTCTTGCTTTTTGGTGGATGGTGAAAGAACCTCTGACGTTAGTGACACGGAAACATCGCCACTCAGAAAACAGAATGTACCATGTTTACGGTGTGTTAAAAATGAGATTCATTTGCTCTGAATTAGAACTAACAGTAGACTTTCATCATATAAACTTCACTTCTGGTGGAGAGCTTTATGGTATGGTATGGTATGGTATGGTATGGTATGGTATGGTATGGTATGGTATGGTATGGTATGGTATGGTATGCTAGGGTATGCTATGCTAGGGTATTGTATGCTGTGGTATAGTATGCTATGCTACACTAGGGTATGGTATGCTAGGGTATGCAATGGTATGGTATGACATAGTATGGTATGCTAAGGTATGGTATGGTAGGGTATGGTATGGTATGCTAGGGTATGGTAGGGTATGGTAGGGTAGGGTAGGGTAGGGTAGGGTAGGGTAGGGTAGGGTAGGGTAGGGTAAGGTAGGGTAGGGTAGGGTAGGGTAGGGTAGGGTAGGGTAGGGTAGGGTAGGGTATGCTATGGTATGGTATGCTATGGTATGGTATGCTAAGGTATGGTATGGTAGGGTATGGTATGGTATGCTAGGGTATGGTAGGGTAGGGTAGGGTAGGGTAGGGTAGGGTATGCTATGGTATGGTATGCTATGGTATGGTATGCTATGCTAGGGTAGTGTATGCTGTGGTATAGTATGCTATGCTACACTAGGGTATGGTATGCTAGGGTATGCAATGGTATGGTATGACATAGTATGGTATGCTAAGGTATGGTATGGTAGGGTATGGTATGGTATGCTACGGTATGGTAGGGTATGGTAGGGTAGGGTAGGGTAGGGTAGGGTAGGGTAGGGTAGGGTAAGGTAGGGTAGGGTAGGGTAGGGTAGGGTATGCTATGGTATGGTATGCTATGGTATGGTATGGTAGGGTATGGTATAGTATGGTATGGTATGGCAGGGTCTGGTATGGTATGGTATGCTAGGGTATGGTATACTAGGGTATGGTATGGTATGCTAGGGTATGGTATGGTAAACTACAGGGAGTGCAGAATTATTAGGCAAGTTGTATTTTGAGGAATAATTTTATTATTGAACAACAATCGTGTTCTCAATGAACCCAAAAAACTCATTAATATCAAAGCTGAAGGTTTTTGGAAGTAGTTTTTAGTTGTTGTTTTTTTTTAGTTTTAGCTATTTTAGCTGTACTTTCTCATATTTGCTGAGCATGAAGACATCTCTTGTGCCTTGAGGAAACAGCTTCAGCAGGTTTACATCGTTCTGCTGGCAGACTAAGTTCCCACGAACTGCTAGGCAGAGGGCTGTTTGCCTCCGTGTGTTTACATTTCCTGTAAAAGCAGAAGGGCAGCAAGGTCGCCTGCTGAGGAAACCAAACATGAGGTTTGTTAGGGGAGAAATAACGGACTGAACATAACAGTCAGAACAGGAGTGCAGAATCAGTCAAGAAAATAAGGAAATAAGAAACTATAAAAACATTAAACACACCTTTATAAAATCATCTTGTTCTTGTTGGACCAGATACAGATTTCCTTTAGAACTTTCAAATGACCGAAGATATTTAAGAGGCCTCAAGGAGTTTGTGTTCTTTCTTCTACAGTCACTGAACCAACAGATTGGTTTTCTCCACAGGATTCTTTTTCTTCTTCTTAAAGAGGTAGATGAGCTTAACTATAAATATAGCTTAACTATTAAAGTAGTGGTGCTTTCTGGGTTGTGAGAGCCTGAAGTTTGAGATGATACAGTGGCTATTCAACCATGAGACCGATTACTTTCTTTTCTTTTCATGGTACTGCTATGACCAATATTATTCATGGGTGTGGTCGTCTGTCTCTGTCACTCATTTTCTGTTCCTAATTCAGCACTGATCATATGTGTGAGACGGGGGAACAAAGAGGCTGATTCATCAGCTTCCTGAAACAGCAGAATGGGGTTTAATGCAGTAGCACTATGCAGACTTCAGAACACAACTTCCCTACTTTCAAAAATCATTAAATTTTTTCTGATGGCACAAACTGTTTCAGAGTTACGGTATATATGTGAGATGCGTCAGCGTTTGGAGTTAAAGCTGATCTTTTGAGAGAAAAATCCTTCAGATGGTCCAGAAAAATATCCAGTTCTTACCTTTCCATCCTTACATTACAGTAATATCTGTCCTCCAATGCAACCACAAGCTCCTTTAGCACCAGTTCACACACACACACACACACACACACACACACACCTTTTGTCACATTTTGTTTACAATGTTTATGCCTGATTTCAGACTTGATTTATACCTTTTTAAAAGGTGAAATCCATTTTGTTCCCGTCCTGTTTATGTGAAACAGAAGTCATTTTGCACTGAAATGCACCACTCTCTACTCTTCGTGGATCAATTGACCAGTGAGACCTAACGTAATTCATGTTAAGTTGAAGAAAATGAATGTTTGTTCAAAGGGGCAGCTATTTAGTGGTATGTTTTGGCATTTTCAATATAAAAGCCCTTAGGGTTGTACATGTAATCATTTTCTCTTCTGTGTTAATGTTGCTCTTAAAATAGAATCCTGAATTTCTTTATCTGATTCATCATCAGTAACCAAGTTACTTGATTTCTAAAATAATGGACAGCTGCAGCCCTAGTCACACTCACTTTGCACTCTTATTTGATGAGTCACACCATAGAGCTCCTGATGTGTTCTCTGCTATTACAAATACCTAATAATAAATTATATTAAGAAGCACCAGCGGTGGTGGTGTTCACTCAGACAGCACAGCTTACTGTTCACATGTCCTCACCCTGAGCGCTGAGGTTAGGTTTTGAATATGCAAAATATGATTTATAGAGCTCTACTGTACTGTATCAATGGTGCTTTGAGGCGGTGGATGTTTTAAATCTGATTAATAAAAGTTCCTCACCATGGTCATCCCGAGCACCAGAGGGGTGATGAAGTAGATGGGCACCTGGCCATGACCCTGGCGTATCTGGTGGAACGCGTAGAAGAGGTCCGTCCAGCACACAATCCACAATAACAAACCAAACACCTGGGAAGAGATAAGAGGGAACAGCCCAGACATGAGACACTGTAAAAACCAAAGAGCTAATCGAACAGAGAGCAGGAGCCTTCAGCAGGCCATGAGCTCTCTGCTTACGGGTCCACTACACACGGTGCTCAGAAGGAGGCGCTTTTTCTGTTAAAGCAGGTAATTAATTAGATTACTCATTGCTGAAAAACTTTTTTTTAGTAACACCGTTATTTTAAACACAGTTATTCCCATCACTGGACATTAGTAACGAATACCACCAATAGTGTAGGGCTGGGCGATATGGCCTCAAATCTATATTGCGATATAATCAGAAACATGTGCGGTAACGATATATATTACGATCTATTTTTTCCTCTGTTTATATATGTCAGAATGACATGCTTTTAAATATCCTCATGTGGCAAATATATGCCACTTGAGGCATGTAGTAGAGCCCTGCACTGGAGCCCTAGGCCCGCGGGTCGGCCCGGCCCAACGGCCCGAGGGCCGGGCTTCGGGCCAACGACTGTGTAATAACCTCGGACACGGGCCGGGCCGGGGCGGGTGCCTTTATTTTTAATCGAATTCATAAAAATAAACTGAAACACTTGAACGCAGCAGCACCTGCCTGCTTCTCACGCACCGTTAGCTCAGTTAAGGTGTGTGTGGTTTATAAATGCGCCTACACAAACGAATTCTCAAACTGCTGATTGAAACATGTGCCCCTATTCTAGTATGCCATTTTATGTCCACTTTGATGTCAGAAACCATTCGTTTATTCTCATGAAAACAGCAGCATTCTATTTTTCTGTGAATAAATTTGCTCTGCAGTTAACAAAATACAGCGTTCATTGCTGGGTTTTTTCTAACTGGAGAGCGCATTTTCAGAGCGGCAGATTAAATTTACAAATGCTTTATTAACTGGGGGCGTGTATTTAATCTGCCGCTCTGAAAATGCGCTCTCCAGTTAGAAAATTAGAATGCTGCTTTTTTTTTTCTAACTGCACAAGAGCTCATTTTCAGAGCAGATTAAATTTACAAACGCATCCAATTAATATAGTGTTCGTAAATTTCATCTGCCGCTCGAAAAATACGCTGTTAGAAAAAAAAAAGCTGCATTGATGCGGTTTTTCTTTTTCTTTTTTTTTTCACCGCAGAACGATTCTCACAGATAATTAGAATGCTGAGCATCCTATCACGCTAAAACATTACGAAAGGTTAAAAAAAAAGTCTGGCTCGGGCTCGGGTCGGGCCAGAGAATCCTGAAAACCTTCTCGGACCGGGTCGGGCTGGGGCTCCACCCCCTCGGGCCGGGCCGGACACGGGCTCAGATTTTAGGCCCGTGCAGGGCTCTAGCATATAGGCCTCCTCCTCCACCCACTCCATGCTTGCAGTCACCGCCATTCTGTTGTCCCAATGTCAGCAGGGTGCACATCTTAGTGACGTCATGTGTTATCACGATATTGCGGTATTGCGATATAGCCAAAAACTATCATTACCCAATTTTATATCGTTTCTACCTTATATCGTTTATATTGCCCACCCCTACAATAGTGTTTTATTTAACATGTACTTGCTCATGTGTAATTTACTCATTCCACATTCAGTGTTAATGCAAAAGTAAGTTTGTTTCCAAATGAAGAGTTCCAACAATACATATCTGTAGATAAAGGAAAAAGAGCACATTCGCGCCAGTTTTTATTTTCGGCCCAGTGGGAATTTCAGGTCGACACCCCTGCCCTACGCACTCACAGCACTCGCCGGGATCACACAGTTGAAGGGCACAAGTGTGGAAGTGTGTTTATTGGTTTTTGAGCCATAGTGTCACTTTAATTTACATTGACGACATTACACAAGTCTGTTGCATCTTTAGCCTTAAGATTATTTAGAAACTCCTAAAACGTCCTAATTTACAGGCAGCACTAAGACAACAAACACCTTTCCAGGCAGACAGCAGGACTGTATACCGGGGTCTAACTATAGGTTGAGTGGTTATTTAGACTAAAGTGCTGACATGATTACCCAGCTGGGACCCTGTTCAAACAAATCAGATATTGATAATATGCTGCTCCCGTGTGGAAACGCAGTAAAACACCATTTTCAGGGCATCTTATGGGTTCTTTAAAAAAGTTTCTGAACACAAAGCTTTTCTTGTACTTCTGGTAGAAATGATAAGAACGGCTCTGTCAATGATACTTGGGATGTTTGAGCATTCTATCTTTTCAAGGGCCGATGACGGGAAAATACCCCAAACCAGCTCAGAGAAAACACTTAAAAGTTCACATTCCAGTTGTAAAAAACACCAAAGTTTAATTTGCTTTTATTTTCTGCTAATAAATGAATACATGTGAGAGATTAATTAGGGGTCTTATATTTATCAAATATAATAAACAATATTTAGAATTTCTCCCCTATTGTAAGCTAAAGATTACTCTCTCAAGGTCATTTAAACCAACTTCTAACAAAACAGTAAAAAAGTAAATAAAAAAAACAATTTATTCTCACCTAGAAAACACATTATAGTTATAACTCAACTCTGAAGAGCACAAAACTAAGTAGTTACAGTTATTTTCTTCCTCTGCTCGTGACTTTCTCCTTGCTGTGTGTGTTAAAAATGTGCAGAAAGAACAAGCTAACACTGTTTTACTCAGTCAGGTGTTTATTCTTTCACTCACTCAGCTTTAACAAATAAAAGTGACCGTCTGCAGGACAAAAACACGACACCCCCAGCATTAGTCTGCGGTGTCTACAGCCCTGAACCCACGGTGTGAGTTTTGGCTGTCTTAGCCAAATCCCTCGTCGTGAGCAGAATCATAACTAAAAGGGTGACAGTGATTTGCATATCTGTGGACGTACAGTGTGACCAGCTCTGCGAACGCTCTTTGAGCCACCTCACGACCAAACTCAGCCTCCTCAAGCACTGCTTGAAAACCGTTGAATCCCGTCTGTGTCACGATCTGCCCCTGCCTTCCTGACTGTGTTCCTCTCCTGCCTTGATTACCCTTATTGTTCTCACCTGTCCCTCATTAGCCTGCCCATGTGTTCCTCATTTTCCCCGTGTATTTATACCTCCCTCCTTGTTGCTGTCCTTTGTCAGATCATTGTTGTGTTTTCACCGTGTTACGTTTGCTCCTGCTGTACCATCCTACCTGCCATATTAATTAAACCATTTTCATTTTTTCATCCGTTGCCTGCTCTTCTGCCTCCGGAACCCCCACCACACATGGTCCACCATCTCCATCCTTCCAAACGTGACAGAATGATCCGTCCAAACCTGGACCTGTGGTGAGCTTAACGTCTGTTCTGGAGGATTTTTTTTTTCTCTTCCGTTTCAGCGGAGGGAGATTCTGGCCTGGAGTTTTGTGTTTTCGGCGCATCCTACCTGTTCTCAGGGTGGTCGAGCCCTCTGGGAGATTCCGGCGCATCCTAGCATTCTCCGGGGTGGTCGGGGTCATTCTCCTCTCCTGCTGTTCTGCCCCGTCCGGTTTTTTACAGAAGCTGCCGTTTCCTGGAGTTTTTATGGAGGTAAAACCCCCTATGCCCGCCATCATTCTCCGGGGTGGTAGGGCTGGTCTTCCTGCTCCGTGGTCTGCTTCCCTTCACCCGAGCCTGCCTGAGGATCCTGTCGAGTCACGGTATGCACCTGCTCTGAACCGTGGTCGAGTACCTGCTGCCGCTCCTGGTTCGCGTCACTCCTACAGATCATCCACTTCCTGGTCCACGCCTGCAGGGTCTATTCCAGCAGGTCCTCCACGCGGCAGTTCCTGCTGGGTCTATTCCTGCAGGTCCTCCACGCGGCAGTTCCTGCTGGGTCCTATGCCTGCTGCTGCAGTTTGTCTCCGTGTTCCTGGTCAAGTCTTTGTGTTCCTGGTCAAGTCTTGGAGTCCCTGTCCCCAGTCAAGTCTTGGAGTCCCTGTCCCCAGTCAAGTCTTGGAGTCCCTGTCCCCAGTCAAGTCTTGGAGTCCCTGTCCCCAGTCAAGTCTTGGAGTCCCTGTCCCCAGTCAAGTCTTGGAGTCCCAGTCCCCAGTCAAGTCTTCGGGTCCCTGTCCCCAGTCAAGTCTTCGGGTCCCTGTCCCCAGTCAAGTCTTCGAGTCCCCAGTCTCCTGTGTTGTGTGGCCTTGTGGGCGTCTGGTATTCGCCCCTTAAGATGGGGGTACTGTCACGATCTGCCCCTGCCTTCCTGACTGTGTTCCTCTCCTGCCTTGATTACCCTTATAGTTCTCACCTGTCCCTCATTAGGCTGCCCATGTGTTCCTCAGTTTCCCCGTGTATTTATACCTCCCTCCTTGTTGCTGTCCTTTGTCAGATCATTGTTGTGTTTTCACCGTGTTACGTTTGCTCCTGCTGTACCATCCTACCTGCCATATTAATTAAACCATTTTTATTTGTTCATCCGTTGCCTGCTCTTCTGCCTCCGGAACCCCCACCACACATGGTCCACCATCTCCATCCTTCATAACGTGACAGTCTGCAATCAACCAACGAAAACACACCTTTCTGACGCTGCAACAGCAAGACCCCGCCTCCCTGAGCTTTGGTTTCAATTTATGTTTAAAATAAGGATTATAAACCCACACACCAGTTTTTATTCCTCTTAACTCGTTCACTGCCATTGACGACTAATATCGTCTATGGCATTTTTAACGGGATGGTCCTGGGGACGAGCCCCCACAACGTGAGTAAACATCACATCTCTAAAGCTGACCTGTCACACGTCACGTGATCAGGAAGCAGAAAATCCATGAAACCACGAATTAGGAGATTGTTTTGGGAAGTTCTTTTATTTTTATTATTTCTGTGACCACTGTGAGTTTTTCATTCATTGACAGAAGGGTACCAACTATTTTGTCCACATCTGTGTGTGTACACGAAATGACCGCAACTGGAGACTTTCATTAAATCCAGCCAGATGTTTTGCCAACTCTACAAACAGATTACTGCCCACAGTAAAAACAACAACCTTATAGCCGTTAGTTATGTGTGTTAGTGACGTTCTTACAGTTTTGACCCTGTTCAGAATGGACATCATGATGTATCCTTTGTTGTTCTTCTTGAGGTAGAAGAGGTAGAAAGGTGAGGCGGCCCACAGGAATATGCATGGAAGCCATGACAAGACAGAGAGCTGGAAACACTCCGGGAGGTCGGGCTGGTCTGCGTGGAACGTCTCATTGGTTATCTGTAGAGGAACATGAGGACAACACAGGTTTACGAACACATTTGTCATGTGAAATGTAAAGAGCCCCATTTGTGAGCCTTCACCATGATTAATATAAACTATAATATCTAAAATCTCATCGCAGGTATAAGCCTTGCAGTCTCACTACTGATGAATTACACTGAATTAATAATTGACCTGTGAGTTACTGATTGATTTAATAAGAGTAATACAGTAACAACCTAACAGAAGAGAATTGGGGAGGGAAAAAGCAGAACGACGTGATTTTGAATTGACAGAGTTTATAGTGTTTTAGACCATTAGAAAACCAACTTGGACTAGCTTCAGCCAATCACAGCTGCCTTTTTATGGAGCAGAAGAGTGACAACCTCACTTTTTAAGGCACACATGAAACAGACGGAAAAATCAACCTCAAACTAACAGTCACTGTGTAAAAAGGCAAGGCAGCTTTATTTGTATAGCACACTTCAAACACAAAGGCAATTCAAAGTGCTTTACAGAAGCCAGAACAGCAAGCACAATGAATCAAACAAAGAAATGTAGATATTAATTTCAGATTCAACAAACAGTTTAAAGCCATTGTCAAAAGGGTAGCAGTTACAGTGCAGGAAGTGCAGCATAACAAACATTTATTCAAAGGCTGGCGAATACGTGAAGGTTTTAATTTTGATTTAAAAGTTACTAGAGTTGGGGCACATTTGGGTTCATGAGGAAGCTGTGTGCAGTTTAGTGACTAAAAGCAGCTTCACCTTGTTTGGTTCTGACCTGAGGTTCTACCAGCTGACTGTTTCCCAAGGATCTGAGATTCCTGCTGGGTGTATATACTAGAAGGAGATCAAACATGTACTTTGGCCTCATGCCATTGATAAGAGTTACCGTAGTGATTGTAGTTGTAGTTTATTGGTAACCAGTGTAAAGATGTAAGAACAGGGGTGATGTGCTTGGTTCTTTGGTTCTTAAGACTCTAGCAGCAGCACTCTAAATAAGCTGCAGTTGTTTTACAGCTGTTTTGGGGAGACCAGTTAGAAGACCATTGCAGTAGTCCAGCCTGCTGGTGATGAATGCATGAATCAGTTTCTCTAGGTCTTATTTTGACATGAGATCTCTGAGTCTTCCTATTTGATGCAGATGATAAAATGCTGATCTAGTCATAGCCTTAATGTGACCAGTGAAGCTCAGGTCTGAATCAATTATGACACCAAGATTTCTAACCTTGTCTTTATTTCTTTGGAGCCAAGTTGAGAAATAGCTTCCATCCTATCCTTCTTATTTCCAAAAACAATAATTTCAGTCTTGTCTTTGTGTAACTGAAGGAAACTTGATTGCATCCAGTCATTAACTTGCTTCATTCAATGACAGAGTGAGTCTAGGGGACCAGATTCATTAGGCGATAGAGCTAGGTGGATCAGGGTGTCATCTGCATAACTATGATAGGTGATGTTATTTTTTATGGCCTGGCCCAGTGGGAGCATGTAGAGACTGAAAAGCAGTGGTCCAAGAATCTAGCCTTGAGGGACGCCGCATGTCAGGGCGATTCGCTTTGATTTGCGTTCACCAATGGAACCAACATAACTCCTGTCTGCGAGGTATGATTGAAACCAGCTATGGACTGTCCCTGAAAGTCCCGCCCAGTTTATTAGTCTATCAAAAAGGATGTTGTGGCCCACAGTATCAGAAGCTGCACTGAGATTGAGCATCACTAAAACAGATGTTTTGCCTGAATCTGTATTAATACGGATATCATTTATTACTTTAATCAGTGCAGTCTCCGTGCTGTGATGTTTTTTAAAGCCTGACTGAAAACCATCCAAGAAGTTGTTCAGCTAGATCAGGGGTGGGCAATCTCAGTCCTCGAGGGCCGCTGTCCAGCAGGTTTTACTTGTTTCTCTGCTTAAACACACCTGGTTTGAATCTACTAGTGATTAACAGGCTGCTGCAGAGCCTGATGAGCTGCTGAACAGGTGATTCATCCAGGAATCAGGTGTGTTGGGGCAGGTAAGCAAAAAAAACATGCTGGATAGCGGCCCTCGAGGACCAGGATTGCCCACCCCTGAGCTAGATCATAACTGCTATTTCAATCTTTTTCCCAATGAAGGGCAGATTACAAATTGGCTTCACATTTGTATCTATTCAACAGGGGGGTTCTAGTGATCTCTGACCTTCGTATCAGGGGCGGCTGGTCCATAGGGGCAATTGGGGCGACTTTCTCCCAAGAAAAACAAATTTTTTTTTCATGTGCTTCTCATCACCATTGTAGTCTGCTTGTCTCTGTCGTCCAATCAGTTTGAGCCCTCACTGCTGGGTGTTCTGGCCTAACAGAGTGACGGGGGTGATTAGTAAGATCGCCCCTATCGCTCTCATAGAAAGTAATGTAAACGTTTCCCCCCGACTTTCCAGAGAAACAACGCAGTTTCTAGGGGCTGGCGGGACGTCTCCCTATCTGCCTAGGTCACGCGTTACGTCCCAGTAAAGGCTGCGTAAAGGACACGCACAGAGCAGCAAACCACTTCCATAATGGCGAGCTGCCGGAGCAACACTATTGTCTCTTTGAAAGAGTTTCATTTTAATCGTCATACCAATGCTGATAAAATGGCCACAAAACTATTAGGACCACCAAGACCAAATTTCAACATCAAACAAGCCGCAGTTAAAGGCAGGAAATCCTACAATCGAGGATTTTCGAGAAGGTGGTATGACCAGACGAGCTGGCTCGTGGGCTGTGAGACAGCAGGCTCACTTTTCTGCTTCCCATGCCTTCTGTTTAACCCAGTTGGCACCACGGCGGCCCACAGCTCATGGACGACCACAGGAGTCACCGACATACACCATCTGGCTGAGAAGGTGAAGAGACACGAAGCGTCAAAGATCTACATGGACAGCTGCTTCAAGTTTTCTACGTTTGGACGAGTTAATATCCCGAGGAGCTGGATAGCAGCCACCGCCTGGCAGTCCGCAGCCATAACGAGGAGGTGAGCAGGAACCGACATTAGGGCTGCTCGATTATGGCAAAAATAATAATCACGATTATTATGACTGAAATTGAGATCACGATTATTTAAGACGATTTTTCTATTTATGTTGATTTTATTTATTTTTATTCAGTCATAAAATTGCTCAGGGCACAATCAGGACAAAAATAAATAAGAAACGAGATGATCACTAAAAGAACTCCTGATTCCCAGTATAAAAAGACCAATATATTTATAGCTCATAGTCTATGACCCAAGGGCTATAGACCTTGGTTTAACTCATTTAAGTCTAACCAGTACAGACCCAAATACCAATATCTTGCAAATACTGACAGCAAGAATTATACAGTGGCATTTATAACAAATAAACGCAAATAAATTGATGTTCACAAAATATTGCATAACATTTATTGAGTCGTGTCAAGGTGCTGTAGGAGAGTGCACTAGCACCGTGTCCTCAGAGAGATTAGTTATTAGTTATCAGCGTAAGGAACTTATTTCTATCTATTTCTACCTTATTTATAAACTATTTATTTACAAGTCCATCAGTTAATGTAATAATTGTCCCAACCACAGCTGCACCCCCCACCCCCCAACCCGGTCTCACAGCAATCGGGGCAAGCTGCACGTGTTTAGAAGAAGAAATTATCATTTCTATAGCGCCTCTCAAGATAAAAATCACGAGGCGCTTCGTTTAGCACGCCGCACGTGCACATTTAGCCGTTTTTAGCGACTCATGAGCCCGTAGGTGCGGTGTGTGTGTCACTCACTCTGGTTAATCAACAAGGAGCCGGCTCCGAGAGCTGTTTCTTTAGCGACTGACACATCACTACATCATTCCCTTTCCTAATGTCCTGAAGAACGGTCCGGAGCGCAGGCGGAGTGTTTAGCTAACCTGCAGGAAACGTCGACAACGACAGTTATCCAGAAAGTAGCTAAGGGTTACCAGAGATGTATCTGAGGTGTTCGCCAGGTACTTTTAAGATTTAAAAAGTCAAGAAGGGGGTCTGAAAAGCTGCTAGAAATAGCGTCAAAGTCGCCAAGTTGGCAACAGGGAGGAGCACTACATTTGCAACTCAGGGCAGCGCAAGTGGGAGGAGCAAATAATCGGCTTGTTTTGTTTTTTTATAATAGTTCAAAACTCAGATCGTAATCGTGATTAAAATTCGATTAATTGAGCAGCCCTAACCGACATCTCCTTAATCGCCTCATAGATTGTGTCAAATTCTGTGGCATGTTTGAATTAGCCTTGCGGGGGAAAGATGAAAGCAAAGGCTCAAAGAACGCAGGCATTTTTCAGGGATTGGTGGACTTGGTGGCGTCTTTGGATGAGGTGTTTGAGGAGCACCTGAAAAAAGCGACTGTTTTCAAGGGCATGTCAAAAACTGTTCAGAACGAACTGCTGGACAGCATGCTGGCGGTCGTCAGGAAGCGTATTACTGATGACTTCATAGCGGCTAGATTTGTTGCCATCCTAGCTGACGAGACTACCGATATGTCAACACAGACAGAGCTCGTGATTGTGATTAGATACATCGACGCACAGCATGCAGTACAGGAGCGTTTTTTTTTTTGAGTTTCTCCCTGTTGTGGATTCGACGGCCAACTCGATTGTCAATGTGCTTTTGGACAGACTAAACAGCCTCTTTCATGATGCCCACAAGGAGAAGCTCATCGCCCAGGCTTATGATGGAGTCAGTGTGATGAGAGGTGAGCAGGCCGGGGTCGAGCAAAAGGTGCGCTAGCATTTCCGAAATGCTCATTATGTGCATTGCTACGCACATCAGCTTAATCTGATAATGCAGCAAGCAACCTCAACCATCCCTGCCGTGAACATTTTTTTCTGGTCTGAGCGGTATTGCCAGCTTTTTTGTCCGCTCACCCAAACGCACCAGCATTCTGGATGAGGTGGTCGCTAGAAGGCTGCCCAGAGCTTCAGCCACAGATGGAACTTTAACAGCAGAACTGTCAACGCCGTGCATGAGCACCTGATAGATCTCATTCAGTGTTTTGACACCATCAACTCATCTG